ATTCCACAGTCAGCCCTCCTGGCCCTATATCACTCACTTATTTACCCCTATCTCACCTATGGAATTTGTGAATGGGGCTCAACAATAAACCATCTCAGACCATTAATTACTCAACAAAAGGCTGCAGTCAGAATGATAACAAATTCCCACTACAGATAGCACACTCCACCAATATTCAAAACTCTAAACCTACTCACAATACAAAACATCCATACTTATTACTGTACCTACTACATACATAGAACACTTAACTCTGATATTAACCCTCCCCTCAAACATCTCCTTACCAACCTCAACAGAACACATGACCATAACACAAGGCACAGATCACTCTTTGATGTTCCTCGTGTCCATCTCACACTATGCAAAAACTCAATGCACATAAAAGGCCATAAAATCTGGAATTCATTACCTGTGAATATAAAAGAAACACTGTCTGTTTATAAATTCAAGTCTCTTCTCAAAAATCACTTACTCACCCACAACTAAATAAATACTGAATAATTGTATCTCATAAATTGTATCTCATATATGTATCTCATTATTGTATCTCATAAATGTCAACCTGTGACCCAATCAAACTTTGTTACTATTTAACTTCATTACCTAACATAATACTCCATTCTAGTGATTACACAGCAACACAGTAATGACCATATAACCTGTCTTTGTAATACTCATTTGTACTAAATCGTTGTCTGTTTTACAATAATGTTTGTACCACTGAATATATCATTGCTTAGTTAATCTTAAGTTAATTTTAAGCTGCCCATAATGATCTGCATACAAGGGGCTTTGGCATGTTGCACTTAACTGTATTCTTTTGTATTTCTCTGTATCATGTTCAAATAAATAAATAAATAAATAAATAAATAAATTCATCAATAAAGATACCCAGGTGTTAAACATGTGTTATTCATCAATAAAGATACCTAATGTTAAACATGTGTGTTATTCATCAATAAAGATACCTAATGTTAAACATGTGTGTTATTCATCAATAAAGATACCTAATGTTAAACATGTGTGTTATTCATCAATAAAGATACCTAATGTTAAACATGTGTGTTATTCATCAATAAAGATACCTAATGTTAAACATGTGTGTTATTCATCAATAAAGATACCTAATGTTAAACATGTGTGTTATTCATCAATAAAGATACCTAATGTTAAACATGTGTGTTATTCATCAATAAAGATACCTAATGTTAAACATGTGTGTTTATTCATCAATAAAGATACCTAATGTTAAACATGTGTGTTATTCATCAATAAAGATACCTAATGTTAAACATGTGTGTTATTCATCAATAAAGATACCTAATGTTAAACATGTGTGTTATTCATCAATAAAGATACCTAATGTTAAACATGTGTGTTATTCATCAATAAAGATACCCAAGTGTTAAACATGTGTGTTATTCATCAATAAAGATACCCAGGTGTTAAACATGTGTGTTATTCATCAATAAAGATACCCAGGTGTTAAACATGTGTGTTATTCATCAATAAAGATACCCAGATGTTAAACATGTGTGTTATTCATCAATAATGATACCTAGGTGTTAACATGTGGTTATTCATCAATAAAGATACCCAGATGTTAAACATGTGTGTTATTCATCAATAATGATACCTAATGTTAAACATGTGTGTTATTCATCAATAAAGATAACCAATGTTAAACATGTGTGTTATTCATCAATAAAGATACCCAGGTGTTAAACATGTGTGTTATTCATCAATAAAGATACCCAGGTGTTAAACATGTGTGTTATTCATCAATAAAGATACCCAGATGTTAAACATGTGTGTTATTCATCAATAAAGATACCCAGGTGTTAAACATGTGTGTTATTCATCAATAAAGATACCCAGGTGTTGAACATGTGTTATTCATCAATAAAGATACCCAGGTGTTGAACATGTGTGTTATTCATCAATAAAGATACCCAGGTGTTAAACATGTGTGTTATTCATCAATAAAGATACCCAGATGTTAAACATGTGTGTTATTCATCAATAAAGATACCCAGGTGTTTAAACATGTGTGTTATTCATCAATAAAGATTACCCAGGTGTTAAACATGTGTGTTATTCATCAATAAAGATACCCAGATGTTAAACATGTGTGTTATTCATCAATAAAGATACCCAGATGTTAAACATGTGTGTTATTCATCAATAAAGATACCCAGGTGTTGAACATGTGTGTTATTCATCAATAAAGATACCCAGGTGTTGAACATGTGTGTTATTCATCAATAAAGATACCCAGATGTTAAACATGTGTGTTATTCATCAATAAAGATACCCAGATGTTAAACATGTGTTATTCATCAATAAAGATACCCAGGTGTTGAACATGTGTGTTATTCATCAATAATGATACCCAGATGTTAAACATGTGTGTTATTCATCAATAATGATACCCAGATGTTAAACATGTGTGTTATTCATCAATAATGATACCCAGATGTTAAACATGTGTGTTATTCATCAATAATGATACCCAGATGCTAAACATGTGTGTTATTCATCAATAATGATACCCAGATGTTAAACATGTGTGTTATTCATCAATAATGATACCCAGATGTTAAACATGTGTGTTATTCATCAATAATGATACCTAATGTTAAACATGTGTTATTCATCAATAAAGATAACCAATGTTAAACATGTGTGTTATTCATCAATAATGATACCCAGATGTTAAACATGTGTGTTATTCATCAATAATGATACCTAATGTTAAACATGTGTTATTCATCAATAAAGATAACCAATGTTAAACATGTGTGTTATTCATCAATAAAGATACCCAGATGTTAAACATGTGTGTTATTCATCAATAAAGATACCCAGGTGTTAAACATGTGTTATTCATCAATAAAGATACCCAGATGTTAAACATGTGTGTTATTCATCAATAAAGATACCCAGATGTTAAACATGTGTGTTATTCATCAATAAAGATACCCAGGTGTTAAACATGTGTTATTCATCAATAAAGATACCCAGGTGTTAAACATGTGTGTTATTCATTCATGCTGATGAATAGGTCATACTTGTCCCGTGGCACGTAATGGGCCCAGGGGCTGGAGGCCAACATTTCTCAGTTGAGTTACTTGGGCCCAGGGGCTGGAGGCCAACATTTCTCAGATGAGTTACTTGGGCCCAGGGGCTGGAGGCCAACATTTCTCAGTTGAGTTACTTGGGCCCAGGGGCTGGAGGCCAACATTTCTCAGTTGAGTTACTTGGGCCCAGGGGCTGGAGGCCAACATTTCTCAGTTGAGTTACTTGGGCCAGGGGCTGGAGGCCAACATTTCTCAGTTGAGTTACTTGGGCCCAGGGGCTGGAGGCCAACATTTCTCAGATGAGTTACTTGGGCCCAGGGGCTGGAGGCCAACATTTCTCAGATGAGTTACTTGGGCCCAGGGGCTGGAGGCCAACATTTCTCAGATGAGTTACTTGGGCCCAGGGGCTGGAGGCCAACATTTCTCAGTTGAGTTACTTGGGCCCAGGGGCTGGAGGCCAACATTTCTCAGATGAGTTACTTGGGCCCAGGGGCTGGAGGCCAACATTTCTCAGTTGAGTTACTTGGGCCCAGGGGCTGGAGGCCAACATTTCTCAGTTGAGTTACTTGGGCCCAGGGGCTGGAGGCCAACATTTCTCAGATGAGTTACTTGGGCCCAGGGGCTGGAGGCCAACATTTCTCAGTTGAGTTACTTGGGCCCAGGGGCTGGAGGCCAACATTTCTCAGTTGAGTTACTTGGGCCCAGGGGCTGGAGGCCAACATTTCTCAGATGAGTTACTTGGGCCCAGGGGCTGGAGGCCAACATTTCTCAGATGAGTTACTTGGGCCCAGGGGCTGGAGGCCAACATTTCTCAGTTGAGTTACTTGGGCCCAGGGGCTGGAGGCCAACATTTCTCAGATGAGTTACTTGGGCCCAGGGGCTGGAGGCCAACATTTCTCAGTTGAGTTACTTGGGCCCAGGGGCTGGAGGCCAACATTTCTCAGTTGAGTTACTTGGGCCCAGGGGCTGGAGGCCAACATTTCTCAGATGAGTTACTTGGGCCCAGGGGGCTGGAGGCCAACATTTCTCAGTTGAGTTACTTGGGCCCAGGGGCTGGAGGCCAACATTTCTCAGTTGAGTTACTTGGGCCCAGGGGCTGGAGGCCAACATTTCTCAGATGAGTTACTTGGGCCCAGGGGCTGGAGGCCAACATTTCTCAGTTGAGTTAGGTGTTTTAACTTTTACGATTTAACTAAGAAATTGACAATGACAGTAATGGTAATAAGTCACCTTGGCCTTTTCTGGGTAATTTACAATATGTATGATAATTGTACTTATGTGCACCTCTATCTAAGTAAACTTTCTTGCTTACTTACTTAATTATTTACTTACTTACAATAATAATAATAATGTTAGTTTTCGTTGAGAAATTCACTCAAGATAGTGTTTTCACCTTCTTCGGCCGCATCACAAAACTAAGATAATGTCTTCTCACCTTATGTCAAAAATCGAAAAAAAAAATCCTAAATATTATAATTAAACATGTAATAATAATTTGAAAAGAGCATAATGTGTATATCATTCCCGGCTGCAAGTCTGTCATTGTTTAATCACTCAGTATTTCGAGTAAGATAAGATAAGCATTAATACTAATATTGTCTATAATAATATTCCAAAATTAAATTATGTACATACATGTTATTCTGACTGCATATATGTTTTATATTAAAAGATTATTGATAACATCATTCCGGATGGATTATTTGAAAACTTACCCCTGTACATAAAATCCCTCACTTACCAGACTGTAATATTGAAAAATTATGAGAATAATCATATATACAAATTTTATACTCGGTTAGATTTACATGTACAATACTAGTATAACATATAAATTAACGAAATATTAATTTTCCCAATAAGAGTACATAAATCCTAGATGTCTACCAAGACGTCTTGATGTAAGTCAGACGCAGCCATTGTTTTGTGCCCCTGACAGACCTCCCGCCACTACACAGTATTTTAAACCATTTTTCTGTCTTTTAATTCATTTAATAATGATTTTTATGGGCGAATGACAGAGTTTGGTGGTGAAGTGACCTGATGGGAGGGAGACGAGTGTGGTTACATCCAGTGGTTGAGTGTTGTGAGGGAGTTAGAGGAGCCAGAGTCAACTACAAGTGTCTTGTGAACTCTCAAGAGTGTCTATCAGGGTCACAGAGTGCCTATCAGGGTCACAGAGTGCCTATCATGGTCACAGAGTGCCTATCAGGGTCACAGAGTGCCTATCAGGGTCACAGAGTGCCTATCAGGGTCACAGAGTGCCTATCAGGGTTACAGAGTGCCTATCAGGGTCACTGCTTATCAGGGTTACAGAGTGCCTATCAGGATCAGAGAGTGCCTATCATGGTCACAGAGCGCCTATCATGGTCACAGAGCGCCTATCATGGTCACAGAGTGCCTATCATGGTCACAGCTTGCCTGTCAGTGTCACAGTGCCTGTCAGCATCACAGAGTGTCTATCAGGGCCACAGAGTGCCTATCAGGGTCACAGATTGCCTATCAGGGGTCACTCTGAGGCACTCAGACACTGTATTACATGTCATAGTAAGTGGTAGTTACTATATAATGTAAGTCGTACAGATAACTTTCTCTTTAATTATTTAAACATCGACTTGAGGTTGCTAGGTGCAGTGAGGGTTGTATTTAGTCCTTAAGTAATAAGTTTAATTAAGTATGATTACACAGTTTTTGATGATTATGGTCGTCTTGCATTGTAACATATTTGTATACTGCCTACAATAAACCCGTCCTTCTACAATAACAGTGTGCTCCCCCCTACAATAATCCCCTCCCCATACAATAACCCTTCCTCTACAGTAACCCCTCCTCCCATACAATAACCCATCCTCTCCTTTACAATAACCCCTCCTCTCCCCTACAATAACCCTCCTCCCCTTCAATACCCCCATCCCCTACAATAACCCCCTCCTCCCCTACAATAACCCCCTACCCCTACAATAGCCCCTCCTACAATATCCCCTCCTTCAATAACCCCACTTCCACCTCCTACAATAACTGCCTCCCCCTACAATAACCCCCATCTCCCACAATAACTGCCCTACACTGGTGGCTTCTGGCCTGTACATTAAAAAATATATATACATATGGTAATTTATTATTTATAATTACAGGTTTTCATCCTCAGAGATGAAGAAGCACAGAAAAGAAGCGTTTCAACCAAGAACTTCCTTACAGCCCAAAAATACATCTAATATGCAAGATATCCTCTTTAATTCACGTATTGGGTATAGTACTAGCACCTCATTGGTGGTCCCAGAAACACCAGAAATGTCGTGTCCCAGCACTAGCATGGCCGCTGTTTCCACCTTGGTATCGGTAATGGAAACGCCAGACGAAGAGGTGCTAAATGTGGTAAATAAAGATGAAACCAATGCAAGCAATGAAAATCATGAAAAGAGTGAAGATGTACAGGAAAACGATTGTGATGAAAATGATGAATCGGACTTACTTTATGTGTCGCCGGATCTTAACCTCGGCAGAAGAAAGAAACTTTTGTCTTTGTTAGAATCTGAGCATTCCTTCACAAAATCCCTCCAGTCGCAAAAAATAAAAAATAGCTCGATGCTTTTTCGTGAAAATAATGTTGGTAAAAAGAAAAAATTAAGAGAAAGAGTAGGGATGCTTTCTCCTGTGAAAGGACGAAAGAGATTATCACTAGCAGATACTATATTGCCATTTGATCTTAATAATTCAAAGCATTGTTCACACAAACTTAAAGGTATTGAAAAAAGAAAGAAATCGAGGAAGTCTATCAGTACCCCAACAAATTCTAGACTAGCAAACTTGAACACATCGCAGACACAGTCAAGCACAAAAATTAAAAATGTTCGTCAGGAAAATACACAATTTGAAAAGGGAAATAATTTAACTATATATTTTGATAGTGAGGATATCCTCTTGACTCCAGTCAGCAGCAGTCAGCATTTGATCGAGAATGCTGTGCAGAGTATTGTAGATGGGCTGGAATCGCAGCAGTTAGTTGATGGTAATGAACATAAAGTAGCGATGGAGCATCAAGTGCAGGAAAGTGCAGCAGCAACAGAACATGACTGCAACTTGAATAACAACTCGAAAAAGAAACACAATGATGCAACACCAGCAAAACTTGATTGCAGCTGGAATAACAACCTTAAAAGGAAGAATAATGATAGCAACGATACTACAGCAAAGGAACCTGCAGAATCTCTTCCAGAACTGAGCTCAATTTTATTAGGTAAAGTGCTTGAGACAGTTTTGAGTTTAATAATATATCTTGAATTTATTTAATGTTACTCGTGTAATAATTTGAAATATAAGTGCATGCATTAATAAATAAATTGTATTTATAAATGTTGATGATACATCCTAATTTGCATAGTGTAAAACTTTTAGAATCATCCTTCCTATTCCAGAAATTGCAAAGAATCATAAAAATCTGTTCTTATAATAAATTTTGGGCTTTTTGTTTCAGGGGTGACGTCTGTGACCTCATGTTTCAGAGGTGACATCTGTGACCTCACTGATGTTAACACTCGCAATAATGTTTCAGAGGTGACATCTGTGATCTCACTGATGTTAACACTCGCAATAATGTTTCAGAGGTGACATCTGTGACCTCACTGATGTTAACACTCGCAATAATGTTTCAGAGGTGACATCTGTGATCTCACTGATGTTAACACTCGCAATAATGTTTCAGAGGTGACATCTGTGACCTCACTGATATTAACACTCGCAATAATGTTTCAGAGGTGACATCTGTGATCTCACTGATGTTAACACTCGCAATAATGTTTCAGAGGTGACATCTGTGACCTCACTGATGTTAACACTCGCAATAATGTTTCAGAGGTGACATCTGTGATCTCACTGATGTTAACACTCACAGTAATGTTTCAGAGGTGACATCTGTGACCTCACTGATATTAACACTCGCAATAATGTCCAGAATTTTAAGAGATTTAGGAACGGGAAATCCAGTGAGCACACTTTTAACAAAATCCTGTATGATGTACCATACTTACACATACAGACAGACACACACAGACAGATAGATAGGAGTCGGTGAGTGGAGGCAAATGGTTTTTGGGACCTGATGAACTCTTTGAGTGTACAGGTCTCCCTCAACATTCACGAGGGTTAGGGGATCAAGAGCCTCGCGAATGTTGAAAAACCGTGAATGTTTGGTGCCCCAATATATTGTAGGGAAATATATTACAATACTGCTTCCTTAACTTGTTGAACCATGAATAATCATAAAATACATGAAAATGTTGTAAATTGTACTAAATACTATATACATGTTATGCTTTAATAACGTATGTTAATAACATGTATGTTATTTAATACCACAGACTCCACCAATGCCTCCACCACTGCGAGTCCCTACTACCCTCCCTCCGACCCCCGCAACTGGCAGCCAGCCCTCCCACCACTCAGTGTGGTGAGTGTTTTGTTTGTTCATTATTTGCTATTAAACTACAGAATAAATAATGTAAACCCATTCATGACTGCATATTGGAATGGCTATTAGGAAAGGTATTAGACGGTGACATCATGTGTTTACTCTTGAACACTGCAAAGAATCGAACATTTCTGCTATTGCTAATAATAACAATAGTAATAATAATAATAATAATAATAATAATAATAATAAATACGATATAATTGAAGAAGGAAATTGTACAAAAATACGGGGGAGTGGTTGACACATCGTCAGTGTGACTTTGTTTATGCTGGAGTGAACATTAGTCTCCCTGCTCTTCCAAACATTTCACAATAATTCAGCGGTTGAGGCAGTGGTATTTAATAACATATGTGTTATAAATAATAATAGTACATGTTATTATTAATAACGTATGTATTTAATAACATATATGTTATAAATAATAAGAGTACATATTATTAATAACATGTATTATTATTAACATGTATGTTATTAAATACCATTGCCTCAATCACTGCCTCTACCACTCCAGTCACACTCAATCTACAAGCACCAAACACAATGAATTATTGTGAAATGTTTGGAAGAGCAGGGAGACTAATGTTCACTCCAGCATAAACAAAGTCACACTGACGATGTGTCAACCACTCCCACGTATTTTTGTACAATATCCTCCTTCAATTATATCGTATTTATTATTATTATTATTATTACTATTGTTATTATTAGCTGTAGCAGAAATGTTTAATTCTTTGCAGTGTTCAAGAGTAAACACATGATGTCACCATCTAATACCTTTCCTAATAGCCATTCCAATATGCAGTCATGAATGGGTTTACATTATTTATTCTGTAGTTTAATAGCAAATAATGAACAAACAAAACACTCACCACACTGAGTGGTGGGAGGGCTGGCTGCCAGTTGCGGGGGTCAAAGGGGGGGTAGTAGGGACTCGCAGGTGGCGGGAAACTTAAATATGATTTGGCGGCTGGGAATTTGGTGGCTGGGAATTTGGTGGTTGGGAATTCGCGAATGTGTGAAGCCCGTGAAAGTTGAAAACGTGAATGTTGAGGGAGACCTGTACATATACATACATACTCACATAAGTATACATGCCCGCATGCGCACTTGTGTCAAAAGTATTTACTGCAATTAGCGAACTTTCATCAACAGGTGTAGTGGCATATGTGGAGGTACGCATGGGAAGTGACAATCGGTCTGCAGTCATTAAAGAACAAGTGCGAGCTTTGGGGGCAGAGGTGCGGGAAAGGTTAACAGCAGCTGTTACCCATGTTATTTTCAAGGATGGCTCTAAGGTCTGTAATTATATTTAAGTTTGAATCTGGCAGTGTGATGATTTAGGCAATCTCATCACCGTTCCCTTTCATATCTTAAAGTTTAATAAAAGTTAAGGTACAGTACTAAGTTCATAGACAGCAATCATCCAAGGAGGCACTACCAGACTTGTCATGTAGGTGTGAAATAGATACTTGTTAAATGTTTTGCACTCTGGCAGGATTACTGGTCTTTACTTTGTGTTTCATTTCATTTAAATTTTTCAGAAAATTCTTACAAATTTCTACTTTACTTTCTTGTGTATTTCTTAATAACTTTTATTCATGTAATTTTTCGTGTCGACTTTATGAAGCTTAGTCTGAAACTGTGCTTTGGGAGCGATAATTCCTTGAACCATTGCAAGCTATAACAATAATATCATCAAGGGTTGAGGAAGTAGAGAGAGCTGGGGAGAAGGCAAATTCTACAGTCGTGGGAGTACTGGTATTGGGCTCGTCGTTTGATATGTTGCTGGTCAGTTTTTTCCAGTCCTGGTTCTTCATCAAATAACAGTATTGGTGATTTGTTTTTAAATAATGGTATCAGTGTCATCTGAATTACACATTTAGGCTTCTCATCGGTAAAAGTTTCCTGTATAATAGATATCTGCAGGATTTACTGTTAAATACATTAATTAATTGCAGTATTTTTCTGCCATTAAGGAGGGCATCAATCAGTCTAACTAATAACTTTCATTGTCATACTTGTACCTCCATCGACTGAATCCTCATGACTGTCATCACTTTCCACAGTAGTTGAGCTTAAGGCAACATCAATCATTTCATAATCTCTATATCAGTAAATGTTTGGTGAATAGGAACAAATTTGCCACACTTGATCCATCCCACAACATTTTGACTGTTAGTATTAGAAACAATTCAACATATCCCACCCGGCCTCGGTGGGAGACGGCCGACTTGTTGAAAAAAAAATCCCTTTTGCATATTTCACTGATTCAGCAGTTTCTAGCATTTTTCTCTGAATTTGCATAGCCCCTTCAGAATCAGAAACAGTACTTGCATCATCGTAAACTTTCTTTGGTGTCTTAAAATATGATCAAATATCTCTATTGCAGTCTGTTTTTAATCGAGCTGTGAAGTCTAGGCTACACTTAGTGTCATCACTGTGGGTGGAGGCTTGTCGGGAGAAGCGTCAACATGTACCTGAGGCACTCTTCCCCAGTTGTTCAATTGACCTCTACAAAGCTCCAATGCTTCCCACTAAACTCAGAGTGAGTGCAGTAGGAAAGTGGGAGGTACAGTGCAGCCACTGTACTTTCCACCTCCAGATCTCAAGAATATGTTAAGGTTTAATTGCAATGCCATGGTACTAAGCAAACAAAGAAAACATCAGTGCTCTGCTAGAATTGCTAAAAATTAATGTTGCCTTCAAAATCCTCATTGAGACCCAGCTAAAGCACAGTGTGGATGAGTATATCTTACTGTGTACACAGTCATATATAACTTCTTTCTTTTGGCACACCTGGTGACCTAAAAAAAAAAAATTTTTTTTTTCTTTTGAAATTTAGTAATTTATACAGAAGAAGGGGTTACTAGCCCCTTACTCCCAGCATTTTAGTCAACTCTTATGACATGCATATATAACTATGGGTGAAAAAAAAAGGGGGCGAGTGAAGCTATTTTATTTATGAATAAAGACCCAAACTGTGGTTGGAATAATTCACAACTTACTAATTGACCATGAATCTTTAAACAGTATTTCAGATCATTGTGGACAATTATCAAGTTACCAGTAGAGCTACTTTACTCTTCACCTAAATTATTATTGAACAAAATAGCATTTGTAATGCTAAGGCAAACTTAAAGACTAAACTCTTTTCAGAGGTTGAAATCTATGCAGCCAAAAGAGCTTTCAGAAGAGGAAAATCTAGCGGCTGCTCGTGCACGTCGCCGGATAAAGACCTTAAGTTCTTCATCGACTCCATCTTCTCTGAAGAGTGAATTGCAATTTTCTGTTCCATCATATAGTTCTATCAATGAGGTGAGAATGAGTATCATTCCTGGTGTTTCCACTGTTGAATAAGATATTTAAAGCCCTGAACCTAGTATACTTTAGAAAATGATAGCACAAAGAATAGCTATATCACACATGTTGCTTTCTCAGTATTTTATCTGTTTGAACCTTGTTTGTATCATTGTAGTTTCAGTCCATCCTGCACAGGTATCAAGGTGCTACTTGATAATAGTACATAATAGACTGAAATGTTGCTTAGTTTCACCTCCAGTGTGTGAGTTACAGTAGGACCCCACTTATACGGCAAGTTAGGTTCCGGGCTACTGCTGTAAAGCAAAAATTACTTTCAAATGCATATATCTGGAGTTTATCTGGAGAGAATTCCGGGGATCAACGCCCCCGCGGCCCGGTCTGTGACCAGGCCTCCTTAGGTCAGTGTCCCAGGATGCGACCCACACCAGTCGACTAACACCCAGGTACCCATTTTACTGATGGGGAACATAGACAACAGGTGGAAAGAAACACGTCCAATGTTTCTACTCTGGGTGGGAATCGAACCCAGGCCCTCACCGTGTGAAGCGAGAGCGTTAACCACCAGGCCACCAGAGCCCAATAGCATGTTTATGCTATCATATATTAAGTAAGCAATATAGCTAGGCCTAAAAAGTGTATATACAATACACACATTACTTCCCTTAAAATATTATCTTCCTTAGCTTATCGTGAGTGGTCAATATATATATTGTAGGAACTCTGAATAAGTGAAGAATGGGTATAATTTAAAACAACTGCATTAGCAAAACATTGTAAAGCAGGGCCCTCCTGTACTTCAGAGAAAATACTCAGAGGTATCAGCAGGGTAGATTAAGATGGTAACAAAAAAAAAAAGGCACAATACCGTGACCGGAACGATACACAAATAACCCGCACATAAAAGAGAGAAGCTTACCACCACCTCTTCCTGCCTATATATAGCCGTCCTGCTCCACTTCTGGTTAGTGTGACTTTGTAAATGGTCCAAGTTGGACCGAAACGTCGTCGTAAGCTTCTCTCTTTTATGTGCGGGTTATTTGTGTATTAAGATGGTGTTTGAAAAGGGTATGAGGGAAAACACGAATATTAAATAAAATGAACTTTCTGTAGTATTAAGAAAGAACTCGGCTTAAGGATGGTAAACACCTGGAATGCAGTAGAAAAGGAGGTAGAATAAGAAGATTTCCTTTATATTATTTGCCCCAGAAACTTAATAACCCAAGAAAATCAAACTGTGGTATATATGTATTGTGCTCAAGTTTTGTCCCCTAGGATGCAACCCAGTTACCTATTTACTGATAGATGAGCATGGGTAGCAGATGCAGGGAGACTTCTCCATATGTCTTTCCTTACCCAAGAGAATACCAAGGAATAGATAAAATAAATGAAAAATTATTTTATTTTTAACACTGCCCATCTCTCACTGCGATGGCAAGTGTTAAAAGAAGAAACACTTTCACTATCACTCACTCCATCACTGTCTTCCTAGAGGCACACTAATACAACAGTTCAGATGCTTTACCAAACTCCAGTATCCCCACCCATCCTTCAGAGTGCAGGCACTGTACTTCCCACCTCCAGGACTCAAGTCTGGCTAACCAGGTTCCCTGAATCCCTTGCTCACACTACAACAACACATCAAGTAATGAATAATAACCATCTCTTAAGATTACTGAAGAACTAGAGTTGTGGTTTGAGAAAGAAAGTGGCATAGATTGTGAATGTTTCTATAAAAAATTTATACTGTATTAAGAATGAATATTTTTTACATGTACCTTCCATGAATGTTCTTTTAAAACATAATTCTAATATATTTCCTTCTTCATCATCCCATTACTAAACAATAGTACCTTTATAGGCTAGAGACTCACCACTGTTTGGCATTGGGCATTTGTTGACCCCACAACGACGGAAGTCTGGGTCCTCGACTTCCAGTGAAGAGGAAGAAATAAACCCAGTATCAGGCATGCCACAAGACATTAACTCCCCACTTGTACAACGCCTCTATAAAAGGTATAAAGTACGAAGAAACAATTGTTTTGATAAGGTAGTTACTAGTATCTTTTCATATTTTTACTTCTTTGTTTACCATAACTCACTCTAGCTATCTCTCCAGAGGGAAGCAGATCAAACCATTATAATGGATTATTATTGGACTGGGATGGTCTTGACCATCCCACATCCTTCCACACTTTTAGAATAAATTCATTGTGCTTACAGACGTTACAAATTTGGGTGTAGGTATCTGTGTGCCAGAGTTGTATATTTACTACTATCTTCACACTCCAGCAGGGCATCAAATCTATTCAAATTCAAATTCAAAGTTTATTCTCTATAAAGATTACAATGCTGAGTTTACAGAATTTGGTTATTGTGTGGTTTACATGAAGTAAAATAATAATTACAGAGTGTACCACTAGAACACCTAGCATGGCTAGGCATTAAATAATTAGTTTATTTTCTCTAGATAAGTACATGCATTTCATGGGATTTTGGATTCACAACTTGTGCACATCAATTAGAATATTTTAGGAAGAAATTAATTGGAACTAAAGCACTTACTAAGTGTTACAGGGTTGTAGTTGTATCTGTTAGGAAGTGCATGTTTATCAGGGGTGTATTAAAAATGTTTTTTTTTTTAAACCAGCTGTTTCCCCACCAAGAACTGTTGGAAAAAAAATAAGCATTCACCATTACTGATTCTCTAACTGTCTTGCCAGAAGTGCCTAAATATCAGGGTCTTCAGTGTGGGGGCACTGTATCACTTCCAGGACTTGAGTTCAGTTGATTAGATTTCTTGAATGTCTTCATAAATTTTACCTTGCTCACACTCCAGTGGTATGTCAACTAAAAGAAAATGATTGTCTCCTCTAAATTCACTCTAAAACACTCACACATTATCTAAGTATTACCTACTCATATTCATTTATGTGTGAGTGTGTTAGATAGGAGTGAGTGGAGGCAAGTGGTTTTGTGAATTGACGTGTTGGTGTGTGAGCAAGGTAACATTTATGAAGGGATTCAGGGAAACCAGTTAGCTGGAATTGAGTCCTGGAGGTAGAAAGTACAGTGCCTGCACTCTGGAGGGGTGGATATATTTGCAATTGTGAAATGTAGTATCACCATGCCTCTGGCAAGACAATGATGGAGTGAGTGATGATGAAAGTGTTTCTTCTTTTTTGGTTCACCCTATCTTGGTGGGAGATAACCTGTGCATTAAAAAAATTAAATGTGTGGTAATTTTTTCTGTTGTTTAACCCTTTGACTGTTTCAGGCCCCTTTCTGAAACTGTCATTCTGTCGCTAAATTTTTGAAAAAAAAAAAAAAAAAATTCTTATTAAATGATAGAGAATCTTTTCCCGATGGTAATAACACCAAAAGTTCGAAATTTGGTCTAAAACTCATGGAATTACGCTCCCGCAAAGTTAGCGGTCTCAGCGACATATGCGTATCGGCGATTTTGCCGACTTTGAGCCCTATTTTCAGCCAATTCCGTTTTTCCAGTTGACCAAAGTCATAGCTATTTCTTTAGAACTCCATTTTATCTATCAGCTGAGTACAAGAAACCGCCCATTTACCAATTTGGACTACCCAATATTGTGGTCAGAAATTGGAAATTTGGCCAATTTCACGCAAACTAAAAAAGATGCCAATTTCAAAATAGGGTCCAGAATAAACAAGGTAGACATTCTTGGCACTAAAATAACATATCCTCTGTTCATTAGTCACATCTCTAGGCCCCTCTTATATTATTATTGCTTTCTATTTTGATTTTTTATTCATACAAAAAAATACAAAATTTACTGTTATGCAGACTACTGCATTATTGTAAAAATGGTATAAATAATATCAGTGCACTAGTGAAAGAATATTAGACTCCCCAGTTGACGTGTATTGGACGTGTGGTGTAATTTGTTTACTCCTGAACATTGGTAAAAATCGAACATTTCCGCTACTTTGAGCTCAGTTTCAAGGTCGTTTTCGTCAAAGTAATGAAAATCATCTCTATTTCTGTAATATGTTTTCCATTTTATCACCTAAGACCATGAAAATGCAAATACATCAATAAATACTATACGAAAATACACCTCAAAGTCGGCATTTTAATCCAAAAAAACAATCAGTTTTTTTTTTCTCATTACGCACTGTGCTGCAGGATTTTTTTTATGTGGTGCACACTGACCACACAGACCCATTCTCTCACATGTAGGCCTACCGGCTTTCTTCCGCTTGATTTGAAGCCGCTAGAATTTTTTTTTTTTTTTTTTTTTTTTTTTCAACAAGTCGGCCGTCTCCCACCGAGGCAGGTATATATACCTGAGTATATATACGTCTGAAACACTGGCTCGTAAGACGTATATATACGACCAAAACAGTCAAAGGGTTAATTTAGCAATTTTATTTTCAGATTCATCTCTCCAAAGTGCAGTATCACTGAAAGACCATTAAGAGGTTCCATAGGAGATAAGGAACAAGGTCTCACTCTGAACACCTCTAGTGATGATGCCTCTTGTGAAAGTGATAGAGAGATTTCAGAAAGAGGAAGGGTACATAATGGTACATTAGAAAACCTGGAGTGCCAGATGACAGTTGCTAGTGATGAGAGTATGAACTTGAGGCTAAGTCTGATGGACAGCAGTGATAATAATGAAGGAGATATGCCTATAAGATTGACCGAGATGCAACCCAAAGCAAATACAAGAACTGTGAATTGTGTGCAAAATGGGAAGAAAAATGCTATAGAAACAGTGTATAGTAAACCACGTAGAAGGAATAGGAAGCTTGTTGACCTCTCAGATGTAAATAAAAGATTAACATTTGAAACTTCAGATTGTAGCAATAATGAGAACTCATTGCTGATGGATTCCAGCCTTGAGCACTGTAACTCTGTGAACAAACCTGAGGGTTGTGGTACAATAAATAGTGTGCCACAAAGCTTAGACAAGTGTGACACAATAGACAGCGTGCCAACAAGGTCAGACAGATGTGGCAGAATAGACAAGGTGTTGCCACTGTCAAGTCGATGTGTTTCAAACCATAATCATAAGAGTGTTGAAAATAAGTCTCCACAGAAAAGGAAATCTACATCATCAGAAGAAAATACAGCATTATACATGAAGGACTCAAATCCCAAACGATTAATTGGTTCAAAACAAGGCGAATATGAAATAGCTACTGAAGCATCTGAAATAACAGGTAGAATTACTAGATCCAGCACAAATTCTAACAGTAATAAATTAACTAATAACAGAACTTCAATTACAAAAATTGAGAAACAAAAATCAGTAAGATGCAGAGGAAAACGAAAAGTTAATGATAATACAACCTCGGAGAAAGACACTCCCGAATCATCATACACATACAAGGATAAAGTAGTAGACTGTAGTATTCCCACAAACAGCAGTCAAAAATTTAATAGCGAATTGAGTAAACAAGCAGAGAGATTATCGAGTAAAGATATAAAATGCTCGAGGGATAACCAGTTTCCTTCTGTATCAGACTCGCATAATAATTCGTATTTCAGCTCCTCACAAGTTCGCAGAAGAAAGCTACTCAGTATGGATGTTATGAATCCCTCTCAAGAACTTATAATACCTGTTACTCCAGATGCTCGTGAAAAACTTACATCGGGACCATACGCTGAACTACAGATTAAAGGCACCAGAACACAGCGAGCAATGCTGAGGAATCATAGAGATAGAAGTGCGTCTATACCACTGCCACGTAACCACAAGACTAAATCTTGTAATAAAAAGTTATCTACTGAATTTTGCTCTTTATTAGAAAGGAAAAAATATGAGTCTATATCAGAAGAAAATGAGTTAAATAAAATAGATTCAGACACTTCATTGTCATCTCAAAATATGTTACATAAAGAATCTACATCAGAGGATGAAACACTTTATAGCTCTGGGAATGATAGTGTGTTTCAGAAGTCAAAAATCAAACCACTTCCACGAACTAGAAGATCAACGGAAGAATTTGAGTTTAAGAACGGCATAACACCAAAGGGAGGGAAGCGAGATAGACCAAAACGTGTCAAGAAATTGTCAATGTGCATCACAAGTGTACATTCCAAGTAAGTACATAATGTAGACAGGATAGCTTTAAATACTGAACTGTCAATTATTAAGCATGCGCTTATCACACCCTTCGTGGTCCCCTTTTTATTTAACCGTTAATACAAATTTAGTTCTTTTTCGAGCCACCCTGCCTTGGTGGGAAACGGCCGATGTGTTAATAATAATAATAAAAAAATCAAATTTAATTTGGTTAGTGATACAGTACTTAAAATGTATCATCACAATTTCCTCTAACGTTTTATATTGTCAGGTTTAATTTATAATTTTTAATGATTTGACCTGCATAATTATTTTTATTTGATAAGTTTGGTATGTGTTCATTGTTTTCTGTATTGTTGTTCCTTAATTAATTTGATTATTTTCTGTGCAGATTTTGATTTAGTTCCTGTTGTATTTATTTTGCTTTCATCAATTATTAAGCATCTTTACACAGGAGAAAGAAACTCGTGATGATATTTTGGTCCAAGTCGGACCATAACAGTCATAAGTTTGTTTCTCCTGTGTGCCTTTTTGTTCTTTATTAAGCATCTTTGTTTAACTTTATTGCATGAGAAGTTAAATTGTGAGTCTACATTAGTCTGGTGAATCGTCAACAGAGAAATGAGTATCCTCATTCCAATAATCAAGAAACTTGGAAGTTATGGTGTAACTGAACACGTGAACAGCGACACATCACATGTAGTGTGCGGAGCAGCCAGACGCACGATGAATCTCTTGCTTGGCATAGCGAGGGGATGTTGGATTGTCGATGTATCTTGGCTATATCAGTCCTTGGAAATGGGAACTTGGGCCCCTGAGGAACCTTTTGAAATATTTACATTTGCCCCAGGAGCTAAGGTATTTTGTTATTATTTTTATTTCTGTTGTATTATAAGTTTACAATGAGGAATAAATTGGAGGCAGTGGAGATGCCATATTTGAGAGCAATGTGTAGTGTTAATACTATGGAGAGACCGTGAGGTATAGAAGTTCGAAGATAATGTGAGGTTACAAAAGATATACAGTAATTCAGAGGCAGAGGGTAGGGTTTTAAAGTTTGAGCATTCAGGGAGGATAGAGCAAAATATAATGAGTGTATAAATCTATTTTGGAAGGATAGAAAGGTAGGGGATCATCACAGATAAGGTTGGAGAGAGGATGTGAAGGAGGTCTTTAGTATAGGGACTTGAGCATCCAGCAGTCATATGAGTGTGCTAGATCAGAGTGGAGATGAGAGCTTTCAAGGATTTGATGCACAGTTGAGTGTGAGCAAGGTAGCATTTATAAAGGAAATTAGAGAAACCAGTTAGCTGGACTATTTAAGTCCTTGAGGTAGGTAGTGCAGTGCCTATACTCAAAAAATGAAGGATATTGGAATTGAGATGTCTTCCTACTTTGAAAAAACAGCTATTGAGTGAACAATGGGGCAGTCATGTTGCCTTGCTGCCCCCTGGATGCTAAGTCTCCTTAATGTGGTAATAGTTTGTGGCAAGGAATAAGATCCATTTTTATGGGAGGGAGGAGTACCAGTTTCCCCACAAGAATCCAGTATTTCTTTTAGCACAAATGGAAGATATTTCCTCTATTTCCACTGGATATGGATTGCAGAATGTAAAAAAATATTTTGAATAATTTTACTAGTTTAATGGTTTGTATTAAAGCAATATGGCAAGGAATGGTTATGTTTTACACATGTTAGTACTGCTGCTCAGAGGTTGTAAAAATTAACTGGCTTTTAAGTGCCCCATTTGTAAGTGTAAATATTTGTAACTTGGGGGATCTCCTGTATTAGATGTTATTTAAATGTCACTTATTATTAAGACTTAACAGTATCACTCTTTTATCTTTCTGTTTTCAGATTTGTCGAGAACAAAAGCAGCTTCAAGGAGCCTCGTACAAGCATACACTCTTCTCTGGAGTAGGTGGCATTTTTGTTCTGGAGGGATGTGTACCTCCGTCAGATCAGCTACAGGTATGTGCTGCTGCATTAAATGACCCATACAAAGTTAATTTTTTTTTGTCAGCATAATAATATAAGAATAGTGATTTTCATTCATGTGGTCAAGTCATCTTCCAGTATTAATAACTGCACATGCATGCCTTAAAACTATATACTGTTCAGTAGTGATAATTTAGCAACATGACCCAGTACAGTAATTAGCATCTTGAAGAATCTAGTTCATTGATATTTTGTTGGCTATGCTTATGAAAAGTCTGTTACCTCTAAATATTTTGTTATACAAGCATTGCAGTACAGAAAATCTTTAATGTAAATGTTTATACATGTATTGATACTTTTTTTTCAGCTCCTGTTGCATTTGTGTGGGGCTGTAGTGGTATCAAACATTCGCAGTGCAAATTTGGTAATAGGTATTCCCACTGCTGCATCAGGAGCACGAGGGAACTTTGCCCAGATTACCCATGTGTCGGAGAAGTGGGTTCTAGACTCCATACAGCATCATAAAATTCATCCTTTTCATGATTATTCATTGAGTCCAACTACATGAAACATATTACTGTAGCAATTGTTTGATAGTAGGTTGGTAAACACTAGCCACTCTGAGAGTGTTAAAAGAAGCCTGTTAAACATTTTGCTCTGGTAGGATTGCTGCTCTTTTTTTTTTTTTGTCTCTTAGAAATGGAAGATAACATGTAAATTTTACAGTCAGTATACTCATTTATTTTATGTGTATTTCTTACTCCTGTAAAATTTCATTTCTTATTGAAGAAGCCTGGTTATGTTTCAGGGGCAGTGATATTAACTCAATCTTCAGATAATAGTGTGTGAGGAATATGGTTCCTGAATATTAAACCTAAATTGTGTGGTGATCTGTCGATTGTAAACTGAAATCGTGTTAGCTTTATAATTTGACATTTATATAAATGTGATCATGTTCTTTCACTATAGTGTGTAAAAGGTAAAAATAATCTTGTATTTAAAAGGACTGGCAATAGAGTATTATGTACACAAGTATATCCAGTCACTATTAAACATGATAATAAGGAGTCATTAATAATTGATCATCTTAATAATAAGTATTTATATCAATGGTTCAGAGCTACATGTGATTACTAGAGCTGTAGTGTGATTGTGAGGGAAAAAATATATACATGTACAGTAGACATAATTTAAGTACAGGAGGGCCCTGCTTATACAGCAGGTTAGGTTCTAGCTACCGCTGTAAAGTGAAAGTTTTTTTTTTTTCACTTTCAAATGCATATCAAGCCTAATAACATGTTTACACCATCATATATTAAGTGAGCTCTATAGCTAGGCCTAAAAAATGCCTGTACAGTACACACAAAATATTCTTGTCCATAGCTTATAGCGAGTGGTGAATATATATATTGTAGGAAGTCTGAATAAATGAGGAATAGGCATAATTAAAAACTGTTATATTAGTGAACTGCTGTAAAGTGGGTCCTGTCTGTACATGTATGGTATACAATAGTGACAAGATAAAGATTTACACCATCCAGAGGCTGTATTGATAAAGCCTCTGGATGGTGAAACATCTACAGTGAAGATACCCAGATGTTGCGTGTGTGTGTAATTCTTCAGACATAATTTGTGTTAAATTACTATTTCAAAAAGCTTCATCATTATAAAGACGACAAAGTTTACTAAATTGTTAATATTTATTATAGATCATAAATGTTTATTTACTGAAAATTTAAGTTTTTATTTCTTTTGAAACTTTTCAAGGATTGGAATTCTCTAAATATTGTGCTTGTCAAGAATATATAGTTGTATATTTATATTTAATATTATTAATTGTATTTTATCCATATAAGACATGTAATATAGAGATTTTAAACACTGTACAGGTGCTCCTTGACTTATGATATTTCGACTTCATGATGGTCAAAAGCAATTACTTGGGAGATGGAACTTGAGATAATTACCCACCATGACGGCAGCAAGTCCGTAACTTGTATTTATTTATTTACTTTTCAATACTGGTATTTAGTTACTGTAATTATTTGTATATTGACTTATTCAGTGACAGTAGTTATTTATTTACTTATTTATTTAGTATATATTCATATTCGACTTAGGATATTTTTGACTTAGAGTAGGTTCATCAGAACGTAGCCCCATTGTAAGTCAAGGAGCACCTGTACTTCCAGGGTCAGATGACCCTTATAAATGGTTAGTGATGTTAGTGAACATAATCATTTTAAACTGTGGCTGTGTCACCGTACTTTGGTGGGAGATTGCCACTGCTGTTAAAAAATATATATTCTTTTTTCTTTCTTTCAACGCACCGGTCGTATCCCACCGAGGCAGGGTGGCCCAAAAGGAAAAACAAAAGTTTCTCCTTTTACATTTAGTAATACAGTGGACCCCCGCATAACGATCACCTCCGAATGCGACCAATTATGTAAGTGTATTTATGTAAGTGCGTTTGTACGTGTATGTTTGGGGGTCTGAAATGGACTAATCTACTTCACAATATTCCTTATGGGAACAAATTCGGTCAGTACTGGCACCTGAACATACTTCTGGAGTGAAAAAATATTGTTAACCGGGGGTCCACTGTATATACAGGAGAAGAGGTTACTAGCCCCTTGCTCCCGGCATTTTAGTCGCCTCTTACAACACGCATGGCTTACGGAGGAAGAATTCTGTTCCACTTCCCCATGGAGGTAAGAGGAAATAGACAAGAACTAGAAAGAAAATAGAAGAAAACCCAGAGGGGTGTGTATATATATGTTTGTACATGTATGTGTAGTGTGACCTAAGTGTAAGTAGAAGTAGCAAGACGTACCTGAAACCTTGCATGTTTATGAAACAAAAAAAACACCAGCAATCCTACCATCATGTAAAACAATTACAGGCTTCCGTTTTACACTCACTTGGCAGGACGGTAGTACCTCCCTGGGCGGTTGCTGTCTATCAACCTCCTACCTATGGTGGCCTGGTGGTTAACGCTCTCGCTTCACACGATGAGGGCCTGGGTTCGATTCCCAGCCAGAGTAGAAACATTGGACGTGTTTCTTTCCACCTGTTGTCTATGTTCCCCATCAGTAAAATGGGTACCTGGGTGTTAGTCGACTGGTGTGGGTCGCATCCTGGGACACTGACCTAAGGAACTCCAGATAAACTCCAGATAAACGTATAGATGTGTTTTTTTTAACACGTCGGCCATCTCCCACTGAGGTAGGATGTACTCCATGGGAAGAGTGGAATAGAATCCTTTCTCCGTAAGCCATGCGTGTCATAAGAGGTGACTAAATGCCAGGAGCAAGGAGCTAGTAACCCCTTCTTCTATGTGGATGTACCCCCACTTCCTTGGATCAAACCTGAACACATTTCATTCATCACATGCTTCATGATCCCCATGGGTTTATCGCTTCCCAGTGGAAAATAATGAAGGTATATATTAGTCAACTCCCATTCTCAAACAGTTTGGAGCTGAGGGCAAATGTACCATAACCAAATTACCAGGTTAAACATTTAGCAAAACTAAACGACCCTAACATCACGCACAAGAAAGTAATAATAAAGCAGTCCTTACCATCACTGTAGAATAACATTCCAAATATGTAGTACTATACTGACTCTCATATGTCAAAATTTTAAACCCAAATTTGTAGTACTGTATTTTCAAAATATGGGAATTTATAAACCTTAATTCTTGCACTAAGACACACATAACTGTAGTAGGCCTACTGTCCCATTCTAGGCAGGTCTACCCCCGACCCAACACTTTTAATTCGTATATTTGTCCAACCTATTTATAAAGCTACCCAAGGTAACCTATTTATAAAGCTACCCAAGGTAACCTATTTATAAAGCTACCCAAGGTAACCTATTTATAAAGCTACCCAAGGTAACCTATTTATAAAGCTACCCAAGGTGTTAGCTTCAGTAAGTACTTGTCTGATTCTTCCATTCATCCTTTACTTGACAGATTCTTAAATTCATTCTCTATTTGACAGATTCTTCCATTCATCCATAACTATTGCCAAATTAGTTCTTTCTTATTATTAACACACTGGCCACTTCCCACCAAGATAGGGTGGCCTGAAAAAGAAAAACTTTCACTATCATTCACTCCATCACTGTCTTGCCAGAGGCGCACATACATTACAGTTATAAAACTGCAACATTAACACCCTGCCTTCAGAGTGCTGGCACTGTACTTCCCATCTCCAGGACTCAAGTCCGGCTTGCCAGTTTTCCTGAATCCCTTCACAATTATTACCCTACTCACATTCTAACAGCATGTCAAGCCCTAATAATCATTTGTCTCCATTTGCTACTATCTAACATTCATGTGTGCTTGCTGAAAGTCCAAGCCACTTCCACACAAAACCTCCTTTACCCCCTGCCTCTAACCTTTCCTAGGCCGACCTTTACCTCGCCTTCCCTCCACTACAGATTTATACATTTGAAGTCATTCTATTTTGTTCTATTCTCTCTACGTGTCTGAACCACCTCAACAACCCCTCCTCAGCCCTCTGGATAAGTTTTGGTAATCCTGCACCTCCTCCTAATTTCCAAACTATGAATTCTCTGCATTATATTCACACCACACATTGTCCTCAGACATGACATCTCCACTGCCTCCAGCCTTCTCCGTGTTGGAACATTTACCACTCATGCTTTGCACCCATATAAGAGTGTTGGTATAACTATACTCTCATACATTCCCCTTTTCGTTTCCATGGACAAAGTTCTTCGTCTCCACAGACTCCTCAGTGCACCACTCACCTTTTTTTCCCTCGTCAATTCTGTGATTCACCTCATCTTTCATAGACCCATCTGCTGGCACGTCCACTCCTATATATCTGAATACATTCACCTCCTCCATACTCTCTCCCTCCAATCTGATATCTAATCTTTAGTTACCTAATTTTTTTTGTTATCCTCATCACCTTACTCTTTCCTATATTCACTTTTAATTTTCTTCTTTTACATACCCTACCAAACTCATCCTTTCTAAATCATATAGAATGTGAGAGATTTATTAGTCATGGTAAGCCAAAATCTGAAGCCAAGGCAGCAATGCCTCAGTGTGTATACTAATGCGGAGACTACTTGGGTATACATGTACTGTATATTAAGGTGTAATTAAGTTAGTGCAAACATTATTCAGCAGTCTTGTATATTATGCAACTCAGTTCTCAGTTTGTTTTTCAAATACATGTACCTTGTTTTTCTTGTACATAATTATTATAATCAAATATAATGCCAAACCCATAATGGTCATTCAGTTTTCCAGTATCCTCTCATTTTTTTTTATGGCTTTTCATACTCTGATAAATCATCAAATTTAAACAAAGGCTACTAGCAAAGATGTATAGAAAACAACATTGAATGATGAACCTTTATTGGTAATGTCATTTTATCTGGGACCAGCCACTGTGTATGACATTAGTAAGAGATATGCCAAAGCCTTTTAAAGGGGAGCTTTAATGCAAAGAACTCTTATGTTAATATTAAAGAAGCACTAGACCCACGTGGGTCACTCAGCACTACATTGAGGAACTGGGGATACCTTTCCTGTTCTTAGATCAAATATGATTACCGTCCATTCCTCAGCAGTGTTGTGATCCATATGGTTTTAGCACTTCCCCAAGATGATGATAAGATCTCGTTGCAACAGGAGCAGTGAAGTTCTTGGGAAGGTTACGTTGGACTACTTTCTTTCTGCACTTGTGTGCAGATGGGAAGTACAGTGCCTGCACTCTGAAGGAGGGGTGTTAATGTTGCAGTTTAAAAACTGTAGTGTAAAGCACCCTTCTGGCAAGACAGTGATGGAGTGAATGATGGTGAAAGTTTTTCTTTTTCGGGCCACCCTGCCTTGGTGGGAATCGGCCGGTGTGATAATAAAAAAAAAATAAAAATAAAATCAACTTTAAAAAAAAAAAAAGACTACTGTAAAGACTGAATAAGTTTAATCTTGGAAGATAAGTCTATTATATTAAGATTTACCTGCTTTTAAATTAAAGACAAGTTTATTCCCTTCAAATATAAAAATAAAAGTCTTGAGCAATCATATCATAAAGTCTTTGGTTTTATTAATCAAACAGTGAAGATTGCACCCTACAGTACAGTATTCACAGTTAATTCCAGTACTACAACTATTTAGTTACATGTTCACATTCATAGCTGAGGGAAGTGATGTGAACTCCAGTTCTTGGTACTGCTTAGTGTCTCAGATGTTTAATAAAATTAGTACAGTGGACCCCCGGCTTACGATATTATTTCATTCCAGAAGTATGTTCAGGTGCCATTACTGAACGAATTTGTTCCCATAAGGAATATTGTGAATTAGATTAGTCCATTTCAGACCCCCTAACATACACATACAAACGCACTTACATAATTGGTCGCATTGGGAGCTGATCGTAAAGCGGGGGTCCACTGTATTGCCAACACCTTGCATCATCTTGGATCTTTGAGCACATGAAATTACTTTGTCATTTAATAAAACACGCTTTTCACTTATTGTGCTGTAAAGTCCACATTGGTTTATTGTTTTTTTCCTGTAACATCCTGACTGACTGCACAAGGTTCTAGAATATTCACTCACAGGACAACCCTTGTGTGTTTAGTCCCTCAAGGGAGGTTCCTTGATGCTGGTGAGGGGCTCTTGATCTAGGGAATTGGATCTGTGCTCCAGTTCCCTGAATTGACTCTGAATACCTTCCATACCCCCCCACATGCACTGTATAATCCTTTTGGGTTTAGGGCTCCCCCATGATTATAATAATAATTTTGTGTTTAGTGCTTAATTTTGGTTGTAATAATAATACTTTACAGGACATGCCTCATTTCCATAAAAGTAAAATATTTGGATCTCTTTCCACTTTGTCATTCAATTCTTTGTAAGTCAGACCAAACTTGCAGCAAATTTCATCATACGAGTGTCCTCCATTGCACATTGTATGAATAACACTGTGTTTGGTGGGAGTGTAGTGTGGATCTTCTGGAGGCAGCAAGATAGGATAACAATGGAGACGCCTGATCAATCCATGTTGCAAACCAAACTGGATTAACTTTCGTTCATCTATATTCAAAGCTTGAGGATTGAAACGAAGACATAGGTCTCTCACCGTTACTCCATACGTCATGCTGAAAAAACACAATTATACAATGTTGGTTTTCTGAACTCTTTACACATACTTGTTACTTTCACAATACTGTGATATCCCGATTCACCCTTGGGATATTTATAGCCCGCAGCACACCCATCTTGAGTTTCTCAAGATGGGAGGTGGAAGAACTCACTTGCATCAGGGCCCAGCTGGCCATTCCTAGGAAGGTTGCCTTTCTCAAATTGCTTAACTAGTTAAATCTAAGTAAAACATCACATTATATCCATAAACTTCTTTCTCTAGCTTTTGGAACTTTGTAGTTTCTTCCTTCCATCATTAGATCACACATACTTGTTAGACTAAATTTCATTCTGAGCAATTATTTCTCTCAATCCATTTGCCCATTACAAAATTAAAATATGCTTATTTTTTCTTTATCCATTCATCAACTGCCATTCCTAACCCAAAGGGGTGAAACTGGTACACTAAGCTATAAGTGGGGGGGGGGGGGGGGACAAGATTTTGCTACCAATAACAAAATCATTTGAAAATGGAATACAATACTTGTAAGTTGAAGAGCAAGATACATATGCAACACATACATATCAGTCAGGCTAAGGAAATGACCAACCTCTGTTAAGACTAGGGGGACTGATAACCTCAAAATTATGTTTCCAATTCTACTGTCTCCAGCGCTATAATAGCCTGGTTTCCAGTTTGACTCAAAAAGTTTACCGGGCAAGTGAAATGTTTTAATAATAAAGCTGCCTAAGTGTTGTATGAGCTTTACTCATTAACAAAGCCTCGTGCTGAGGTGTAAACATCACTACATTTCTCACAGGTAAACATTTACCTGCAGTAAAGCATTAAAATGTGTGATTGCTGTGGCCGCGAGGAGAAGTTCTTGCAGACTGCCCGCTGACATTCATCTTGAAGATCTCGATCGTCATACAACTTTTGGATGCCAGATGTGACTGTGTATATGTTGGAATACTGGAAGATAGGAAGCAGTTGCACTTGATCATAGTACAACAGGTTTTCCACACACGCCTGAAATTTAGAGCAAGATAAAACTCGCTGAAATCTCAGTTTACTGTACTATTAATGGCCATTATGAAGAAATATTTGATTAAACTAAAAAAAAAAAAAACTTACATAAAAAGAAATTTGTGATACAAAGGAGGTTCCCAACTTATGAAAGTCCAATTACGAATATTCCAACTTAGAAAAAGATCCATAAGAGATATTACAGGTCTGTATTATATAGAAAAATAGTTTTATGACAGCCATTCTACTGTTACAAATGTGTGACATAATCATTATTGTACCAGTGTTTTCTATAGGAAAATAACCTTCAAGGGATCTTCCTTGATCCAAGGATTTGGACCTGACCTCCCCTTCCTTGGATCGAAACTGACTGCCTCCCATTCCTGTTGGTGTTTTATGACCCCTACAGGATTAGCACCTTAAATAATAATAATAATAATGATGATACAATTGAACATTTGAAAAACATACTTTCACCAAATTATTTTCAACATCTGCTGCAGCGGCTATTTTGGCAATGTGAGCAAATCCATCTATATAAGGTAGAACTTGTTGTGTGGTCAGGTCCCAGTGATCTCCACGACTGTATACTCTCTCAGAAATAAGAACTGGTACATGGTGATCTAACACCCGGGGAGGGTCAGGCCAAACACCAACAACCTGCATAATACATTTAATAATACCAGTAAGATAAAGTACACAGCATAAAAATGGCTTTGAGCCTCAGACCTTCACAAAAATATTCCTGAAAGTACAGCCTCTTCTCACTTAGCGACGTACTCATTTACCGATGCCTCGGACTTACAATGGGCTTTCTGACCAGTATTCACACCTAAATAGTGAATATTAGAGTCGATTTCTTCTCTTCTTTTTATTTCAATATACAATACACTACTGTATAAACATTTATAAATGGTGCAAAGGTGACATTAAAACATTATCAAAGATGGTTAACTACACGAATACCACCTGGTCGTTCACACTTACACTCGCTCACTCATTTGACCATAAACAGAAATATTAATCTCAGTCTTAAAATAATGAATCCTGTGATACTCCAATACTGAAACTATATACTGTGCCAAAACAAAAGCATTCACATTGCTAAACTCATAAACTAGTATTTAGTCACTTAGCCATAATACCAACTTACCTCATAATTTGTAATATTTTACAAATAAGAATAAAACTAAGTATGCCCAAAATGCCTACCCATGCTAAGCGTTCTAGTGGTACACTCTGTAATCACAATTTTACTACATGTAAACCAAACAATAACCAAATTTCTGTAAACTCAGCATTGTAATCCTTATAGAGAATAAACTTAACACAAACCCACTACCATTATAGTATGCTCCTCACTTAGCAACGAATTCATTTAACGACATGGTCTTAAGAACGGAACTTCGTCGTTAAGTGAGAAGAGGCTGTATTCATGGTATTTCTATTACTATATGGTATGTTGAGAGACATGTAAATGTGTGAATTTTTAATAAATTAGAAAAAGCATTAAACCCTTGTGGTAAATTTGTGGAGTAATGGCCAAAAATATTTTTCAAAAAATAATATTCTCACATTGGTGCTAAATTATTTGTATTAAGATAATGTATCTTGTCAAAAAAATCCTAAGACACATGAATTATTCAACACTACAATAGTAATTGATGCAAATTTTCCCTTCTTAAGAAGGTTAATGTATCTGTCACATCCTTCCATGTAGATTATTCAGACATGTTCAACAGTTGGATAACCTTACTGTTGATATGTTTTGCCTGCTCAACAGGATTCTTCAGATGAACACAGAGGTGACTTAAATATTGGAGAGTGCAGAAGCAGTGGAGAGGTAAATGTGAGGTGATCAGTCCCTCAAGGGTTAATAAGTGTTCAGCTCTCTAGTCTCATTCAAAGTGAAGGTGAAACATGAAAAATGAAGCCTGGAGACAGGAGTGCAGAAATTGAAGACAGAGATGTTGACCATGCGAAACATTTCAACAATAAGAATACATAACTGCTGCACAAGTACTTGTCAGTATTGTATATCAATATTCTATATAATGATACATCTTTTCAAGTTAAGAGTGGACCAGTGCTAATTAATTGATGTTCTATTGCATTAATTATGCCTTCAACACTTTGGTTAACCTATCTTCCTAAGTAACTGTCATTGTTTCCTACAATTAAAAGACTAGAAAAAGCAAAGCAATGGAGCAAGAGTAAATCTGAAATTAATTTTTTTTTTCACAAAGAGGCATTAAACCCTCATTAAACTTAACATATAATTTTTTTTTTCTGTACAAAACCTAACCTCCTATCTTTTTATTAACTAACAGAAACACCCTATTCTAACAGCAATTTTATTGCTGAAATAAGTGTCTACTGAAAGGTCAATCAAACTGCCATCAATTGCCATCTTGGATACTTGGTTAAAATAATATTATTTAATTTTTTAAATGACAAATAAATTTTACATTAGGAGCTATTACCTTCAAATGAAGAACAGAGGTTGTTGAACAATCTACAGATTTACGTCTAAGTTTTGGTTCTGATTCAGAAGGTTTTCGAAACCCTCTGAAGAAGGAATCCACTTGTCGCTGATCACTGTATAAGCTCAACCTTCTCTCATGTCCATCATATGCGATCTTTGTCTCTGACACCTGATGTCTCCTTTCACTATAAAGACTTGGTCTTCGTTCTCCCTTTTCCCCAGTTTTACGTTCGGTGTTCTCATTTACATGGGGTTTCTGTTCTTTCAGGGTAATTGTTACTGTGCACTTGCCTGTAGCGTTCAATTCTTCCAAAATGTGGCAAAGTATGCCTGGCATCTGTGCCTGACTCTCTTCAGTGGAAAGGAACCCATTTTCCAGCTCTAAATTTTCCAAATATTCCGAAAGCTTCTTAACCGCTGGCTCGTAGTGAACGGTCCGAGCTGTTGAGTCACAGACGAAACACAGATTGAAAATCAATGCATTTCGTGCATATTTTAAATTCTTTATTTCGTTCGGGTATCCCGTAACCTTAAAGCCGAGCACATTAACTGTAATAATCCTTTTCAGAATCTGTGGTTTGGGTATGATATACACCGAAATAGCATCGAACACTTCTTTTGAAACGTAATTTTCTGGATACTGGTACACAATTTTTGGACCAACGATGTGGTGAAACTCCGAAAGAAAGATACTACGGATTGGACCTTCTTTCCCAAACTCTTCTATCATCTTCCTGTGTTTGAGAAAAACATAAATTGATTAAAGTGCATGAATTATATTATTATTATTATAATCAAAAAGAAGCGCTAAGCCACAAGGCATGAATTATAATTAGTTATAATGTATCATAACTACTTATAATTAATTATAACTAGTATAATTAATTACAACTAAGTATAATGAATTATAATTAAGTATAATGAATTATAACCAATTATAATGAATTATAACTAAGTATAATTAATTATAACTGAGTATAATGAATTATAACTGCAGTTATAATTCATTATAACTAGTTATAATAAGTTATAACTAGTTAATAATAAAGTGACAGGAAGTAACTAGACTTATTTACAATAAATTAACTTTATACATTATTTATACAATTATCACACTCATAATTATAACTAAGTGCTAAACCCATAAGGGCCATTATTTATACAATAATAAAGGCAGAGAATAAAGTGAGGGGAACAACACTTGCTTTACTTAAAAAAATCAATAAAAAGACCTTGATTTATGGACTTTATTTCTGAGAGGTCAAGAAGTGGGTCTCGGTGATTGGGTTTGATCCAAGGCAGAGGAGAAGGAGCAGCTCCAGCACCCAGGATCAAGATCCCTGGAGGGAAGGTGATCAGGCTTCATCCAAGGCAAGAGAGAGCAGCTCCAGCACCCAGGATCAAGATCCCTGGAGGGAAGGTGATCAGGTTTGATCCAAGGCAAGAGAGAGCAGCTCCAGCACCCAGGATCAAGATCCCTGAAGGAGCAACACACACACGTGACTCAACAACAACAACAGAGACCACTGACACAAAATATTATTAATAAAAATTCTCAATAAAATTAGTCTTTATTGACTTTACAGATTATTATGTGTACTTCATGAGTCTTTGTTTACAGGATTTTTGTTTACATTCCATGTAGTTTTATATTCCATGTGTTTTTATTTACATTCTTTACATTTTGTTTACACTTTCATTTACATTCTACGTGTTTTGTTTACAATTGATGCGTTTTGTTTACATTAGATGCGTTTTGTTTACACTTGATGTGTTTATGTTTACATTGGATGTATTTTGTTTACGCTGCTGTGATTGGCCAGATGAGTCACGGGACTCAAAACTAACCGTTGATTGGCTAACACGAGACATTCAAGCCAAAATAAAGTTATGATTTTTGCTAATAGTATCTCCCAAAATAAAAATTTACACAAGCAATGACTATTTTTCCAGATTATGGATAGTTTGATTACATTTAAAAATAAAGATATTGGGCGAGTTAAGGGAACTCTCTCAACTAAATATTAGAGAAAATTGGCTATGAATCTTAGAAATAATTGTCCCAGATGTCTCTTCCTTATTGTTATATTATATTGTATGTTAATTCATTTTTATGTAACTTTCTCTCGGGATGTTGTGTAATATTACGTGCTCTGTGTTTTTTTTTTGTTGTCTTAACTGTCAATTAGACTATTAAAGTTAGATAAATATAACTTTGAAACAATAATAGTTTATTTTGATGCTTTGTGAAACCTGCGAAGTATCTTAAATTTGTGTTGGTTATAATATAGTAATTCTTGGTTGTTGGTTAATTTGAGAAATATGAAACACAGGATATAAGACAAGTTTATGTTAACATATATATGAATGCTGTGAGGGTAAAGCTAAAGTCAGTGTCACACAGGATATATACAAATTCAAATACAAATATTATGTCATATACACAAGACGTTGCTGCACTTTTGGAAATGTTTCACCTATAATAAAATACTTCAAGTATATTATATTAGTATACAGGCATATAACATGTTTCATAAGCCACATGAAGGTGATATAATATAAATAAAGAAGAGGAAGTCAGTGTCAGTGTGAGGGTTGAGACAGAGGGTTGCTAGTGCCAGGTGTCGCGGTCATAACATTATGACGTCCACAGCTTTTCTCTGACCAATAATTACTCGGTAATTACCTACATTACTACTGATTATCACTATACAAGCGGCTACTGTAGCCCACAATGCCAGGATCGTGAGTTATAGTCGTATATAAGGTGTAATAATGGTGATTAAGGCCAGTAAATGGGGTTTAATTTTACACTTTCCTCCCTCTTGTCACCTGACTAAAATAAAAAAATAAAATACTTATTTGCCATGAACAAACGTGGCTTTATATATATTTATTTACAGTGACAGTAACCTATATAAATACTTCCTATTTACGCTAATTATTAAGGGTAATCACATTTCTTTGGATTAAATTTAATATATCTTAGGTTACCTTGGGTTAAGCTATGTAATTACTCTAATTACTGTAAATTATGCACTTAATACAACCATTGTAGACACCTGTAATAACAGTCTATACTTAACTATAGTTCGCCTTTATTAAACTTGTCATGTACGTGTATAAGTGTTAATAAGTGTGATTGGTGTCAGCTAGGGAGGCCAAGCCCATGATGACACTCTTCAGGTCACTTGTTCTATCTAGGCTGGAATATTGCTGCACTCTAACAGCACCTTTCAAGGCAGGTGAAATTGCCGACCTAGAAAATGTACAGAGAACTTTCACGGCGCGCATAACGGAGATAAAACACCTCAATTACTGGGAGCGCTTGAGGTTTCTAAACCTGTATTCCCTGGAACGCAGGAGGGAGAGATACATGATTATATACACCTGGAAAATCCTAGAGGGACTAGTACCGAACTTACACACGAAAATCACTCATTACGAAAGCAAAAGACTTGGCAGACGATGCAACATCCCCCCAATGAAAAGCAGGGGTGTCACTAGCACGTTAAGAGACCATACAATAAGTGTCAGGGGCCCGAGACTGTTCAACTGCCTCCCAGCACACATAAGGGGGATTACCAACAGACCCCTGGCAGTCTTCAAGCTGGCACTGGACAAGCACCTAAAGTCAGTTCCGGATCAGCCGGGCTGTGGCTCGTATGTTGGTTTGCGTGCAGCCAGCAGCAACAGCCTGGTTGATCAGGCTCTGATCCACCAGGAGGCCTGGTCTCAGACCGGGCCGCGGGGGCGTTGACCCCCGGAACTCTCTCCAGATATCCTCCAGATATCCAGATATAAGTTGCATCATGTTTTTGTAGTGTAAGATTATTAAGGCACAGGTACACATAACTGTATAATTATACGTGTATGTAATGTATGTGTAAAATGTATGAATGTAATATATGAATGTATGTATGTAATGTATGTATGTGTGTATGTAATGTATGTATGTAATGTATGTATGTGTGTATGTAATGTATGTATGTGTGTATGTAATGTATGTGTGTGTGTATGTAAGGTATGTGTGTGTGTATGTAATGTATGTATGTGTGTATGTAATGTATGTATGTGTGTATGTAATGTATGTATGTGTGTGTGTAATGTATGTATGTAAGGTATGTATGTATGTATGTAATGTATGTATGTGTGTATGTAATGTATGTATGTGTGTATGTAATGTATGTATGTGTGTATGTAATGTATGTATGTGTGTATGTAATGTATGTGTGTGTGTATGTAAGGTATGTGTGTGTGTATGTAAGGTATGTATGTGTGTATGTAATGTATGTATGTGTGTATGTAATGTATGTATGTGTGTATGTATGTAATGTATGTATGTGTGTGTGTAATGTATGTATGTAAGGTATGTATGTATGTATGTATGTATGTAATGTATGTATGTGTGTATGTATGTAATGTATGTATGTGTGTGTGTAATGTATGTATGTAAGGTATGTATGTATGTAATGTATGTATGTGTGTATGTAATGTATGTATGTGTGTATGTAATGTATGTGTGTGTGTATGTAATGTATGTATGTGTGTATGTAATGTATGTATGTGTGTATGTAATGTATGTATGTGTGTGTGTAATGTATGTATGTAAGGTATGTATGTATGTATGTAATGTATGTATGTGTGTATGTAATGTATGTATGTGTGTATGTAATGTATGTATGTGTGTATGTAATGTATGTATGTGTGTATGTAATGTATGTATGTGTGTATGTAATGTATGTATGTGTGTATGTAATGTATGCATATGTGCATGTATGTATGTAATGTGTGTGTATGTATGTAATGTGTACATGTATATGACTCACGAAATAATGACACGATTGCAAATAAACCATACCATGGGTGGGGTTAGAACCCGCGTCAGTCTGGAGTTTTATGACTCTGATCATGGGTTCTAACCCCGCTCGTGGTGTGGTGTGTATGTATATATGTATTTATAATGTTTGTCATGTGTGTATGTGGAAAAATTCCATCCTGAAAAGACGAGTTAATACAGTCACAAGGAACAACACTCACATATGCAAGTAAGATCTTTGAAACAATCATAGGATCCAGTACATAACATGTCTTATTAGATGGTGTGATGTACCCCAGAATACAAGATGCCATTCTGGACACTGTTATATGGAGAGTTCATGGGGACATAATATCTAAATTGATTGACCTCAAAAACTATGAGGTGAGGGATTTCTTGTATCGCTAACATTGGTGTACCTGTTGTTATAAGCTGATCCTCTTTAATGTTAATGTAAATTACTCGGTTTACTTTATTCTTATTATATCTCCTTTTATTGTACTCTAATTGATTTTCACTCATTTGAATGACTTAGCCGTTTTAATTTTTAATGTTTAAATAATAAGTATTATAAGGATCTCAATGGAAATAAGTCACTTTATCTGACTTTTTTGGTTTTTTTTTTTTTATTTTTTATTATCACACCGGCCGATTCCCACCAAGGCAGGGTGGCCCGAAAAAGAAAAACTTTCACCATCATTCACTCCATCACTGTCTTGCCAGAAGGGTGCTTTACACTACAGTTTTTAAACTGCAACATTAACACCCCTCCTTCAGAGTGCAGGCACTGTACTTCCCATCTCCAGGACTCAAGTCCGGCCTGCCGGTTTCCCTGAATCCCTTCATAAATGTTACTTTGCTCACACTCCAACAGCACGTCAAGTATTAAAAACCATTTGTCTCCATTCACTCCTATCAAACACGCTCACGCATGCCTGCTGGAAGTCCAAGCCCCTCGCACACAAAACCTCCTTTACCCCTCCCTCCAACCCTTCCTAGGCCGACCCCTACCCCGCCTTCCTTCCACTACAGACTGATACACTCTTGAAGTCATTCTGTTTCGCTCCATTCTCTCTACATGTCCGAACCACCTCAACAACCCTTCCTCAGCCCTCTGGACAACAGTTTTGGTAATCCCGCACCTCCTCCTAACTTCCAAACTACGAATTCTCTGCATTATATTCACACCACACATTGCCCTCAGACATGACATCTCCACTGCCTCCAGCCTTCTCCTCGCTGCAACATTCATCACCCACGCTTCACACCCATATAAGAGCGTTGGTAAAACTATACTCTCATACATTCCCCTCTTTGCCTCCAAGGACAAAGTTCTTTGTCTCCACAGACTCCTAAGTGCACCACTCACTCTTTTTCCCTCATCAATTCTATGATTCACCTCATCTTTCATAGACCCATCCGCTGACACGTCCACTCCCAAATATCTGAATACGTTCACCTAGGGGTTATCCTAGGTAATTTACACATATGTTAAAGTATGTATGATAATTGTACTTACGTGTACCTGTACCTTAATAAATTTACTAGCCTTATTAGCTAGGTAGAGTTGGGTTACCGGAAATAAAAAACTTTTCCCTAGCCACGATGAATATGTTATGTTAATGATAATACATCTCACGGATTGAGCAAGGTTTGAACTCATGGCAAATCTATCCTAAAATTAGTAGGGTAAGTGCTGTTAAGACTGGTAGATGATCCAGGATTTAGTATGGTACTTCCCTCTGCAACTAATATTTACAAAGGCTGTGATATAACAGTTTGTTTCCTGTTGTTTAGGATATGAACTATTGTATAACTTTCATGGTAATAGCATGTAGTGCTTTATGGGCTGTAGTACATATTTAATCAGTTATGTGGGTTATTGGTCCTTTTAATTTGACACTCTCTCAAATTTGGCTGTGGTATAATCTAAGCCTGTGCTTTTGTTAGTGTGCAATTTATTCAACTCTTAGTACATATTAATATGGGATATATGATGGCTGAAAATAGTTTTGACTTAGTTGCTGACTTACTGACTCTCACTGACTGGCTTCAACTCATTAATTGACTCCCTCTTGTTCTGCTAGACTCCAATTATTTAAAGCATCTGTGAATTTAAAAGTTAATGTTGATACCTTTTCTGCCTTTTTCTATTATTTCAATAATGCATTTGCTTTATATGTTATTTTAATTCCTTCCATGTTTATTTCAGCGACTTGGAATATTCATCATGGATGTTAGTGAGGTCATCAAGAAAGCAAAACGTGGGTTGGATGGTTACATATCGTAAGTTTATCCAACTGAATGCCATCACTTACTTTCCTTATTATTTTGTTCATTTTCCTGGTATTTGAGAATACAGTGGTCCCCCGCCTAACGATCAGCTCCCAACTCGACCAATTATGTAAGTGTGTTTTTGTAAGTGCTTTTGTAGATGTATTTTTGGGGGTCTGAAACAGACTAATCTAATTCACAATATTTCTTATGGGAACAAATTCGGTCTATAACGGCACCCAAACAGACTTCTGGATTGAAATAATATCGTTAGGCGGGGGTCCACTGTATATATATATATATATATTATTATTGCATTCATGTAAGCCTTACGCACTATCTTGATTCGTGGGAGGGTATTCTTTGCAGTCTGTCTGACTTACATTAGCGAATTTTAATTGATAGAACTTATCAATCTCATTGGTAACTTAACATACACAAAAGTTTGGACAATAAATAGGCATTTAAGGCAGTAAAGACTTTATTGGTACAACATTTCACCCACAAGTGATCTTTGTCAAGTACATAAATAGAACAGTTAGAAAAATTACAGCTTACACAGGGCATCTGGGATGGGTGGTCTAGTGTAGCTCCTGGAACAAATGGTCAAGTGTAGCTCCTGGGACAGGTGGTCTAGTGTAGCTCCTGGAACAAATGGTCAAGTGTAGCTCCTGGGACAGGTGGTCTAGTGTAGCTCCTGGAACAAATGGTCAAGTGTAGCTCCTGGGATGGGTGGTCTAGTGTAGTTCCTGGAACAAGTGGTCAAGTGTAGCTCTTGGGACAGGTGGTCAAGTGTAGCTCTTGGGACAGGTGGTCAAGTGCAGCTCCTGGGACAGGTGGTCAAGTGCAGCTCCTGGGACAGGTGGTCCAGTGTAGCTCCTGGGATGGGTGGTCTTTAAAAATAGGTTGGAAAGCTATATGAATATTACAGGCACAACACATACTGTTGGAGATTTTAGGACTAAAGTAAGGAGGAGGACTTGACTAACATGTTTATGCACTATACAGTGGCCAAAGAAGACAGTGAATAATTCATGGGGAAAAAATAAATGGAACTTAGAGAAGATTATGCAAAAATATTTTGTAAATAAATTGTACAAAAGATGGTGAGTTTTTGGGAACTGATTTGTAGAACTGAATAAAACCTGTGCACAAATAACCCGCACATAAAAGAGAGAAGCTTACGACGACGTTTCGGTCCAAGTCGGACCAAAACGTCGTCGTAAGCTTCTCTCTTTTATGTGCGGGTTATTTGTGTATCATTCCAGTCACGGTATTGTGCCTTTTTGTTATTTAAAACCTGTGATAAACAGTTCATAAATTTTGGGACTTTAAATGGCTTGCAAAACTACAAGTGATATAGAAAAGCTAGAGAATTTTTTAAATAATTTTTTCTTGTTGCTTTCCTTTTATGTCCTCCCCTATAAAGAGAGAGACTATGGGAAATACAATGATAAAGATTCATTCTGTAATAATAACTGTTTTGTATTTGTACTCATAAATATTGTAACTGAGGTGACTAAAATGCCGGCATCAAGGGGCTAGTAACTCTTCCTCCTGTATACTTTACTAAATTTAAAAAGAGAAACTTTTTTTCTTTTTTCTTTTTGGGTCACCCTGCCTTGGTGGGATGTGGCCGGTTTGTCGAAAGAAGAAGAAAAAGAAGAAAATTTTTGTTTCTTCTTGTTTGGGTCATCCTGCCTCGGTGGGAAACAGCTGATGTATTAAAAAATACTCTAACTCTAACCTGGAAAAATACTTCAGATTTTCATTCAAATATTTTTTTAATGTAAGGAGTATTTAATTTTGTTCAGTAATGCAGCCTTTTTATTTGTATTTATATTTTATAGGTTATAAATAGACTCATGACATAAGGATTGTCTATATTACTTTCTTCTCAGCCGATGGTGTTCTCAAATGGTGATGTTTGGACGATACATCTTGCTTCGAAAACGGTAAAACAATATTGATTAATCACTTAGGTTTCAAATTGTATTTAAATTGTGAGATTGTATTTCATGAAGCCCTAATCCTGTGTTTAGATATAGAGAGTCCAGGAGTGCTAGAATTTCAGGTTAATTTATTAACTTTGGGGTTTAGCTAGTACGAGTTATTGATATTTCGACAAAATTTCTTATGCTGTATTAAATGGTAAAGAGCAACAACTAACAAATTTTGGTTTCCTCAGATACCGTAAAGCACTGCTAGTGGTTCTGGTCCTTCTGGTAATCCTACTTTACTCAGGACCATCAATATTTAGACTAGTTCTTCACACAAGACCATCTCTTGCAGGTGAGGTTAAGTGCATCTCGCCACCATTCTCTAACTTCACTTGTGTTCCGATAGCTTGGCTTAAATTGTATCATTCTCTCTCATGACTAACCATTTTATATACATGTATTTTGTTATTTTTTGTAAATATATTTACTCGTGTTAATCTATGAAAAAATCATGTGTGGTACGCTTCTATTTTTGGTTTAGCATGTATATACAGTACTGTATTTTATTTGGCTTTAGCATGTATATGCAGTACTGTATTTTACAGTATAGCTTAAGAGAAATGTTAAGTTTTCAATCCAAATTGAAAAATCCTCACTTTCTCACATTTTTTAAAGCATCATTTCACTTTCAGTGTGAGAGAGACAATAAATAATATTGAAAATAATACGAGTTGCAACAAAACCTAGTTAATCGCATCTAAAAAAATATGTAACGGTACTGTAATAGACTTTTCTAAAAAGTATGATAAATAGATTTCTGAATTTAGTATGTTTTTCCTCTTGTTACTTCAATGTGAATGCCATTAAAACAGTTTTTAAGGAAGTACAGTGGACCCCCGCATAGCGAACTTAATCCGTGCAAGAGGGCTGGTCGTTATGCGAAATGTTCGCTATGCGAATTAATTTTCCCCATAAGAAATAATGGAAATAAAATTAATCCGTGCAAGACACCCAAAAGTATGAAAAAAAAAATTTTTTACCACAAAAAAATGTTAATTTTAGTACACACAAACTGAAAAAGGCATGCACAATTACATGACACTTACTTTTATTGAAGATCTGGTGATGATTGATGGGATGGGAGGAGGGGAGAGAGAGTGTTAGTGTTTAGAAGGGGAATCCCCTTCCATTAGGACTTGAGGTAGCAAGTCCTTTTCCGGGGTTACTTCCCTTCTTCTTTTAATGCCACTAGGACCAGCTTCAGAGTCACTGGACCTCTGTCGCACAACAAATCTGTCCATAGAGCTCTGTACCTCCCGTTCCTTTACGATTTGTCTAAAATGGGCCATAACATTGTCATTGAAATAGTCACCAGCACGGCTTGCAACAGCTGTGTCAGGGTGATTTTCATCCATAAAGGTTTGCAGTTCAACCCACTGTGCACACATTTCCCTAATTTTTGAAGTAGGCACAATGGATTCCACAACTGGCATAGGCTTCTCAGGGTTAGCCCCAAACCCTTCAAAATCTTTCTTAATTTCCATACTAATTCTCACCCTTTTTACCACAGGGTTGGCACTAGAAGCTTTCTTGGGGCCCATGGTCACTTATTTTCCAGAAACAGCACCGAAAACACTGTAATAATACGAAATATTCCGAGTGTATGCTTGAATGTTACCGCGGAGGCTGGCTGGTAAACAATGGACGCGTCTCGGACGAAGGTCGCTGAGCGGGTTTTTGTCCACTATGCGGGGCAAAATTTTGGCGAACAAAGCGTTCGCTATGCGGATTGTTCGCTATGCAAGGCGTTCGCTATGCGGGGGTCCACTGTACTATAACATGAACTGGAGTCTTATGTATCTGGAAAAATCAGCCTACCTGATAACTCGGTTGACCTCGGTATACTTTCTGACTGTGACATATTTTATAGTGCCCTCTTCGGTTGACTTTATCATTATGCTCTTTATAATGTGAAACAAATGGGAAGGAAAGTTTAATGTGTTTATTATCTCTAAAACTTGACAGCTAAACTTGAGAAAGTAGAAAGATGCATGAGGTATGAGAGATAGTGTGAGAGTAGCTTGAGACAGAGGGTTGGCAGAGGATAAATCTGGCTAATGGAACATGATAAAATTGTATGTTATATTATCATATTATTTGTATGCTTGAATGCATAACTGCCTGAGTTGTACATTAGAGATAATGTATTGTGTAGAACATGAGTATAGCAGGAATGAGAGTAACTGGCTAGGACATTTGCATTATTACATGACATTGCATATTATAAAGGGTTAAAATTTCAAGATTTTATATACCATTTTCTAAATATATAACGGTTCCATACCAGATTTTTCTACCAATAGAATGTTTGTAAGCTTTATTTCAGATTCCGCCAGTAGAAGTCTTTCTTTACGTCTGGGCCGGTTTTGGCCGGCATCTGAGGAGCATGATGCCCATATCCTTCATGCTCCAGCATTGCCTGGAGAACAGTCGTACCTTCCATATGTTGGTAATGGTTACATTGCTCTCACTATGGATCAAGAAAGCCCAGTTTACATTAGAAATGGAAGGACACTCTCGTTACCTATCAATTTCCGCCCTGTCACACTTGTCTCTTTGGATGGTAAGATTTATTTTATTCTTGATAAGCAGTTTTTATTTTATATTTGGCTGAGTGGAAAAGTTTGAGAGATGTGAATGGAGTAATATAGAGGATGTTCAGCAGGTGTGTGTGCATGTTGGACCTGAGTGAGTGCAGATGAATGATTTATGGAATATGACATGTTTTTGGAGTGTAAGCAAGGTAATATTCACAAAGGTACTCTAGATAAATGAATGGTTAAACTTCAGTTTTGAAAGTTGGGAATTAGTGCATGCACCTGTAAAATGGGATGAAAGATTATAGTTTACATATCAGAACTGGACTGTTTTGTAAGTGCTCTTTTAAAGAGGCAGCTAGAGTGTAATAGGGGGCCACGTCTGTACTGTGTGTCTTGTACACGAGTGTTTCATGGGTGTGATATCCAAAGTAATTAAAGTATTCACAATTACATTCCTTTTCAAATTACTTGGGATAGAGCAAGTGCACAGAGTTTTAGAGGGAAAAAAGAAATGTACATGTATTCTAATGTCTTACTTTTAATTTTGTATATAAAGTTGATTTATAAATGTTTCATCTCTTCAGGTATGGCAGTCAAGGAAGCTATTGTGACAGACTATACCTCAGGCATAGTTCATCGCATTCAGTCCTGGGACCAGCCAGGCATTGGGCCCTTGGATGTAACATACCAGACTTATGCACATCGATCGATGCCATCCCTGCTTTTTCAAGATATCAAGGTTAGATTATTATTATCCTTTTTTTTCTTCCCACTCCCAGCCTTACTCTAACCCTCTTCCTTAACCCAGTCCTATCTCAACTCTTTATACCCAGTTTTCCCATTCTCCACCCTTTCTTCCCTCCCAGTCTCTTACCCTTTCCTCCCCATTTCCTTACTCTCAGAATTTTTCAGATTTGGGAGTATTGGTGAGATAGCTTGGGGGATCAGACCCAAGTCTAATCACAAAATATTTCACATACAGCTTATATACACAGCTTATATGCACAGTGGCTTGGTACCTAAGGCTCTTGCTTCACACGGTGAGGGTCTGGGTTCATTTCCCAGCAAGGGTAGAAACATTGGGTGTGTTTCTTTACACTGGTTGTCTATGTTCCCCATCAGTAAAATGGGCACCTGAGAGTTAGTCGACTGGTGTGAGTCGCATCCTGGGATAAAACTGACGTAATTTGCCCCAAATGCTCTTCATAACGAGCAGCTTTCTATATACTAGTAGTATGTCGTTGATGTCAGCTAGGCCTGTATACCTTGTACATGTACTTGTAGAAATGAAGATATTATTATTATTATTATTATTATTATTATTATTATTATTATTATTATTATTATTATTATTATTATTATTATTATTATTATTATTATTATTATCACATACACTTACCAACATGAAGTTTATCAAATCAATATATACATGCCAAGGGCACCCCATGCACCATGTTTTTATCAGTTATCAAATGCTGTGGTTATCTGCATGCTGTAAAACAATAAAAAAAAAATTGTTACCATTTTTCATTAGATGAGTAAATTGCAAAAATTACAATGTATGTTTTTCCATCATTTTCAGCATGTCTAAAACCAAGACTAAAAATATAAAGTGCATTGCTTGAATTTCTGTATGGATTTTAGTTGAACAAAAACATTTATTGCTCACCTCATGAAAAGAGCATAACCCACATGCACCATTATCACCAATATGGCGTGCTTCATACACAGCTTGAAAAATAAATATGATAGAGCTAATTCACATTAGTCAGTGAAAAGTTTAGTGAAGATCTAGAGCTCACCTCACTGCAACCTCAGGTAATTGAAAGTGACATTTCCACAAAAAAAAAAAAATTACTGTTATAAAAATAAGTGGCGTGGATAAGTGAAAAGCGCCTGATTTTACAGAATGTTTTGGACATTCTAAGACTATCTTAGAATTACGACAAACTATTTAATAATGCTTAGTTAAGGTTTAGAGTTCTTTAATGCTAAGTTTAATACACCATGTTAGTGTGATGAAATAGTAATCTACTCTGGACTGTCAGTTTTGATTACATTAAAACTGGGTGGCTGATATATGATGGTAATAACATTTGGGCATGGATAGTAATTAGGTCTGGAGAAAAAACTAATTACCAAGAGTTTATTGTTCATTATGGGAGAAAAAAGTTCTTTCACTTTTGTTTCAGTGATGTTTAATAATTGTATTATTTTAGGGTCAATTCTTTAGATGTTATTTTTTCCTACATTACATATGGTCCTGTCTTTGATAGAAATTTGTTTCCAGGAATATTGCTATGAAATAATAGAAATTTTCACAGTGTATCTACTAAATGTTGTCTTTTTTTTCATAGGTTATAAATCCAACTGATCAAGATGCGATTGTGGATGTAGAGCAAATGGGGCTGGGAGACTGGCCCATGGCAACTACTGAAATGATTAAGTAAGTCAGTTATATAGTGGTAAGCCAATCAAATCAAAGAACAAGTGGGATTTAAATTTATATTAGGCGAATCCCAAAACTCTCGGACCAACTAGCCCGAGAGTTTACATATGTATTAGGTATACGTATGTCTTTACATCTGAGGGAGGTTAGCATGGGTCCCACTGTAACCACAAATGCTGATTTTTACAGATGAATCCCATGCTGCTGTAATTTTGTATTACAGTATTTGCGGTTTTCATTTTTGTGCTACTTTTTTTTTTTTTCAACAAACCGGCCGTATCCCACCGAGGCGGGGTGGCCCAAAAAGAAAAACAAAAGTTTCTCATTTTAAATTTAGTAATATATACAGGAGAAGGAGTTACTAGCCCCTTGCTCCCAGCAGTTTAGCCGCTTCTTACAACACGCATGGCTTACGGAGGAAGAATTCTGTTCCACTTCCCCATGGAGGTAAGAGGAAATAAACAAGAACTAGAAAGAAAATAGAAGAAAACCCAGAGGGGTGTGTATATATATGTTTGTACATGTATGTGTAGTGTGACCTAAGTGTAAGTAGAAGTAGCAAGACGTACCTGAAATTTTGCATATGTATGAGACAGAAAAAAAAGACACCAGCAATCCTACCATCATGTAAAACAATTACAAGCTTCCATTTTACACTCACTTGGCAGGACGGTAGTACCTCCCTGGATGGCTGCTGTCTACTAACCTACTATCTAGGTTTTGTGATACTTATATGAATATAATCCTTGATAAATTTGTAGGGTCTACTTATATACAGTATATATGTTTTTAACTTATGTTTTCATTACACTTCACTCTGTAATTGAATAATACGGAATTTGTTGCTATAAAAACAGTAAATAAAATTTTTTATATTTTCAGATTACAACATGGTGAAGGAGAACATGAATACATTGTTGTGTCAGGAAGTGTCGACCTTCCGAACTCTAAAGTCATTCCTGTTTCAATAGTGACACTTAAAGTTCCATCCAGCTTGCAGGTAAGCTTACACACTAATATACATACATGTTTCTTGAGAATTACAAATTATAGTCTGGGAAAATCTTATTGTGCTTTTTTTTTTTTTTTGCACAAACGTCACTTAGATATCAATTTCTGATGAGTGCATGGTTTTTTTCTTCATGTACTTTTTCTTCCATTTTTTTTTTTTTTTTTACTTCACTGGTCATCTCCTACTAAGGTAGAGCAGCCAAAAAACAGGAACTGCATTCAGTATTCATTTATTAGAAGTCTTGCCAAAAGTGCAGAAACGTAATTCAAATGCCTTTCTGAACGTTCATCCACACCTGTCTTTCAGAGTGCCAGCACTTCACTTCCCACCTCCAGGACTTTCCTCACAAAACCTTTGACATTTCTTATTCACCTTTGAAGACTCGTGCATTCTCACTCACTCACCTGCTGTATATTTGGCCTTGAATTACAAATTTCAACATTTTAGCCTATAAAATAATGCACATACTTTGTACCTCACAATAATGGATCAGTTACCATGCAGCCACTGTAGCAAGTGAGCATGCTTTCGTTTTTATGTATTTTTTTTTTTTTTCAACAAGTCGGCCGTCTCCCACCGAGGCAGGGTGACCCAAAAAAGAAAGAAAATCCCCAAAAAGAAAATACTTTCATCATCATTCAACACTTTCACCACACTCGCACATTATCACTGTTTTTGCAGAGGTGCTCAGAATACAACAGTCTAGAAGCATAAACATATAAAGATACACAACATATCCCTCCAAACTGCCAATATCCCAAACCCCTCCTTTAAAGTGCAGGCATTGTACTTCCCATTTCCAGGACTCAAGTCCGACTATATGAAAATAACCGGTTTCCCTGAATCCCTTCACTAAATATTACCCTGCTCACACTCCAACAGATCGTCAGGTCCCAAGTACCATTCGTCTCCATTCACTCCTATCTAACACGCTCACGCACGCTTGCTGGAAGTCCAAGCCCCTTACCCACAAAACCTCCTTTACCCCCTCTCTCCAACCCTTTCGAGGACGACCCCTACCCCGCCTTCCTTCCCCTATAGATTTATATGCTTTCCATGTCATTCTACTGTGATCCATTCTCTCTAAATGACCAAACCACCTCAACAACCCCTCTTCTGCCCTCTGACTAATACTTTTATTAACTCCACACCTTCTCCTAATTTCCACACTCCGAATTTTCTGCATAATATTTACACCACACATTGCCCTTAAACAGGACATCTCCGCTGCCTCCAACCGTCTCCTCGCTGCTGCATTTACCACCCAAGCTTCACACCCATATAAGAGTGTTGGTACTACTATACTTTCATACATTCCCTTCTTTGCCTCCATAGATAACGTTTTTTGACTCCACATATACCTCAACGCACCACTCACCTTTTTTCCCTCATCAATTCTATGATTAACCTCATCCTTCATAAATCCATCCGCCGACACGTCAACTCCCAAGTATCTGAAAACATTCACTTCTTCCATACTCCTCCTCCCCAATTTGATATCCAATTTTTCTTTATCTAAATCATTTGACACCCTCATCACCTTACTCTTTTCTATGTTCACTTTCAACTTTCTACCTTTACACACATTCCCAAACTCATCCACTAACCTTTGCAATTTTTCTTTAGAATCTCCCATAAGCACAGTATCATCAGCAAAAAGTAACTGTGTCAATTCCCATTTTGAATTTGATTCCCCATAATTTAATCCCACCCCTCTCCCAAACACCCTAGCATTTACTTCCTTTACAACCCCATCTATAAATATATTAAACAACCATGGTGACATTACACATCCCTGTCTAAGACCTACTTTTACCGGGAAGTAGTCTCCCTCTCTTCTACACACCCTAACCTGAGCCTCACTATCCTCATAAAAACTCTTTACAGCATTTAATAACTTACCACCTATTCCATATACTTGCAACATCTGCCACATTGCTCCTCTATCCACTCTATCATATGCACTCATATCATATCATATCCACTCTATCACTCTATCATATGTATGAGTGTATATATATATACAGTATTGATTTTATATTTGTCTTTAATATTACAGGTATTATCAAAGAGGTCAGTAGCATTACACATTGTAACAGCTATAAACTACACTGAACCCATCCTGAAGAAGGCTTATGCAGGTGCAAAGGAGGTTGCTACCCAAGGGGCACTTGCAGTAAGTAATGTAATTTTTCTTCAGAGATGTATACTCAGTTGATGGGCCAAAATCATTATTAACTTTATTACTCATCCTAAGTTCATAACTTAGCTGTAGGTGTGGCCCCATATTCTCTGGCATACAGCAGTTGTAGGAAGCTCTGGGCCAAGGACTGTCTTGGCTGTCACTGGAAGGGTGTAGTACCCTGGCAAAAGTAGCAAATGCTCTCTCTATAAACTTGATTCATTCTTAGATAATTCTTCTTTCAGAATATTCTTTGCAATTTTTGTAGGCAATTTTACTCTACTTCCTGTACAGGCATTAAAGAGAGCAGTCACAGGGAGTATCAAGAACCTTCGTAACGACCACTCAAAAGTCTGGAAAGAGCTATGGTCCTCTGGATTTGGTATTAGTCATTCAAAAGCTGAGAATGCATTGAATGGTGACCTGATCAATGCCACCCTCTACCACGTTTTGTCTCAGGTGCGTAACTAACATTTTGTGTTCATATTCCATGTGTCACGTTCAAGATTGGATGTTCATTAAACCTGGTCTTTTTCCTTTGATGTCTTTAGTGAAAGGAACCAGATTTTCACTCACACTAATGTCATGATTGAATCAGCTGTGGTATATACGATTGTTTTTATTAACCTTTGTTCATAAATATAAAAAAAAAAATATTTGTAATAAGTTAAACTAGCATGCAGAATTCTTCAGAGATTATTTTGTATTCTCTGTTTAATATTTTTAACAGTTCACAATTATCATATGTGGACATGTGTGATAATTGCGTATAATCGTCTCCTTAAGGGAGAGAAAGCCAATGAAGAAGGTAGATTTTCCTAATTAAAATTCAAAATTTTGGAGATAATTCCAAATTTGGGGAAAATTCAGATTGTTTTAAATAATCTAATTGTGAGATTATATTCACAAATGCTGCAATATATAGCTTTCATTTGTCAGGCTCAAGCTCCACTGTATGAGGTATTGACTACTGAAGAGCAGAGAGCTTCTATTCTACGTGATATTGCATATGCTGAAGGTTGCTATGGTGGCCATCAGACTCTGTAAGTGCCTTTTTTTCTTAATTGCTTGCCATTGGTAGACCCTTAACAGTAGATCTGCAAAGTGAAGCCATAAATTAATATCCTTGGTAATGAATACAAGAATAATTAATGCTTATGTATTGGACAACTTTGAACCATGATTTTGGAGAGGCCCTTGGAGGGTACCCCAATGCTTGTGAAGGGTTCTCAATCCAAGGAATTGGAGTTACCCTCCCTTGTATCAAACTTGATTACATCTCATTCCCCAGGTGTTGTATCCTTCTACCTTGTGGGGGTTCAGTGCTTCCCCATGTATAATAGTAATAATAATAATAGAGCATGTCAGCAATAATGAAATCTATGTACGTACCATACTTTATTATTTTTCTACAGTCAGGCTGAACGACTGTGGTCGCCACTTGACACTGTCCAGGATGTCAATAGAGTGGTTGGATACTGGATACTCACTCTAGAAAAACAGGTGGGCCATGTCACCAGATGTTTTACTCTAGATTTCCTGTCATAACTTTTCCAATTTTAATAATTGCTTCATCTTTAATCTCTGAGAAAAAATTTAATACATTAATAAAAGAAATGATCTTTATTGGTCAGTAAACTTAAGTTGTGTATGATATTACTAGGTAAAGTTACAATGTTGAGTGCAGTGGTTACATGATTGAATAAGCAAAATTTCTGACATACCTATGACCAGTCTTCTCTATTAACCACTTGGTCAACCAGGCTGTTTATCCTGGTGGCCTGCAGGCTCATACTGCCACACAGTTTCTTTTTTAAAACTCTTATTTTCATTCCTGCATTATTTCCCATCTGTTGGTAATATGTTTTAAGAGTCTTTGATTACAAATATTGACATGCTAATCACAGAACAGGTGGGGTTCAAACCCACGGCTATTGAGTCCTAAAACTCACAGGCCAGTGGTTCACTTGCCATGGGTTTAAATCCCACCCGTTCTGTGATTTGTTTGCAGTCACATTATTATGATTACATGAGTCATTGATACACACTCCTCTAATTTTACTCTGTCTCCTTTGCCCCTCACTGGGTCTATTCTACACTTTCTCGTATTTTTCACTCCAGTAAGTTGTTATAGTGTCATAGTGTCTTCTATGTACATTATTTAAAGTAACTCTCTCTCCTCCATTCCGTACCCTTCAATGATGGTGCCTTGATGCTGATGAGAGGGGCTCTTGATTCAAGGAATGGAACTTATCCTTCCTTTCCTTAGATCAGACCTGACTGCCTCTTATTCCCCAGGCCTTATAGGTCCCCTACAGGTTGACCCTTGGAAAAGTTCTTTGATTATTCTGGAATTGCATTTCAATGGCAGCCTTAAGTTGCTCACTGCATACCCCAACAACTGCTCTTTCTTACTTCATAACCATCAAACCATTTCTTCTGTTTTTCATGTAAATTTTTACACCTTATTATTGATAATCATTTCCTCTAGTACCGCTCTACTCTCTTGAATTGTCATAAATTTCGTGATGTCATTTACTGCTTTTTTTCACTGTTGTAACGATACTTAGGAATTTACACTTTTTTTGAGTTTATAGGTGCTTTTACTAGGAAAAACACAATTTTCATCACAGAGAATTTTTATTTGTTAGAGAATAAATCATATTCACTTGCTCTGATATAACACACAAATAACCCGCATATAAAAGAGAGAAGCTACGACGACGTTTCGGTCCGACTTGGACCATTGACAAAGTCACACTGTGTGACTTTGTCAATGGTCCAAGTCGGACCGAAACGTCGTCGTAGCTTCTCTCTTTTATGTGCGGGTTATTTGCGTATCGTTCCAGTCACGGTATTGTGCCTTTTTGTTATTTATTTGCTCTGATATAAATTAACAGAACCGTTATACATAATGAGTTTGCTTTCTAAAATGTTCCATTTGCTGGTCATGATAAAAGTTGGCAGAAAAAAGTTGCAGCCAGTAATCTGTGATAAACATACATGTATTGTATTGTCGGTTATATAATATACTGCGATAATGGTGGAGATATGTTGCAGTTTTTGAACTGCAGTATTAGCATGCCTCTGGTATGACAGGGATGGAGTGAGTGATGATGAAAGTATTTCTTCTTTTTCGGGTCACACTGCCTCGGTGGGAAACTGCCGATGTGTTAAAAAAAATAATGGTTTGAATGAGCAGTGTTGAGTGGTCTTGCTGACAACTTCAAAGCTTTCTAGCATCTCAAGGTGGTCAGGATAAGGTGCCTTAATGTTAATGAATTGCCCTTGATCCAAGGAATTGAAACTACCTTGCCCTTCTTGAGATGAAATCTGACTGTTTCCCCATTCACCAACACTGTGACTTTTACAAGTTTAGCTCTTATTTGTGAATAAAATAATAAACAACCCTGGTGGCCAGTGGTTGCTACCAGCAAGCAGTTAATTTCTAGCACTGCATCTGCAAAATTAGTAGATTTTCCTGTTTTTGAATATTTGTTTTTACCACACGTGCCTTCTCAGGGTTGCCATCAGTTGGTTCGTGCTGGTGCCAATGGCATTATGCAGGCAATGCTACTTAGCTTTGGGGGCATGCGCTTCAAAAATCAGCACCTTGAATTTAACACTCATCCAAAGGACCTTCACAGAGATTACTACTTCAGGTATGATCATTTGAGTACAGGTTGGTTTATGTTGCAAAAATTTGATAGTAAATTTAATCAGAAGGAATATTTCTTGGATGCACTTCATGTCATATTGAAGTGGGTATGTTAGCTAATTAGGTTGTGCTGATTGGCATGGTACTAAGGGTATAACAGTGAGTGTTTACACTATCCCCTGTGTTTGGTGTAACAAAAATTATTAATAATGGTAGAATTACCGACAAGATGTTAGGTAAAAAAACGGATGCAACTAATGTAACATTTTATTGTGGCAATGTTTTGCTCTCCAGGAGTTTTGTCAAGGTAACAGCTTGACAAAGCTCCTGGAGAGTGAAACATTGCCACAATAAAATGTCACATTAGTTGCATCTGTCTTTGTACCTAATGTAACTAAAATTAATGCAGGTGTTGTATGTATTTGTAAATTTATAATTTTTTGTTTTATTTTGCAGGAGATTGAGCTATGGGAATGCAACTCACTTAAACATCTCTGTAATGGTCCAGGAGGAGGATTACAAAGCTGTCATCTACACTGCCTTAGACAGGTCTGACAAAAACTATTATGCCTGTGATGCTGGCTGTCTGGACCCTCCAGTTGAACTGAAGTAAGCACTTAAAATATTTAATAAATCCACTTATATATTTTGTAGTAATCAGAGTTTTATGGCATATGACATGTGGTTTTTGAGTCTTGACATCCTGTTGGATTGTGAGTGAGGTAATATCTACGATGAGACTCAGGAAAGTTGGTTATGTCGACTGAATTTCTGGAGTTGGGCAGTATACACTGTCTGAATGCTGGATAGTTGTGTGGGTCAATGTATCATTTAAATTGTTATGTCTGTGTACTTCTGGCAAGACAGCTATTGAATGTGTTTCTTTGGGCCACTCTACCTTAGTAGGAAATGGCAATTTTAGTAAAAAAATAAAGATATCAATAAAAAAAAGTTTGTTACTTTTTTCTTGACATTTATTCTGGAATCAACAGGGTAAGGTTTTTTTTTTTTTTTTACCACAATGGCTATCTTTCACCAAGGTAGGTAACTCAGAACTGGAAACTTTCACCATTATTTCTACACACTACTGTCTTGCCAGTAGTTTGTAGAAATGACAATTCAAATGACACTTTGACACTGGAGAATATTTTCATTTTGTATAGATAGAGGCAAGGGATATGATAGCGTGAATGTTATACTGGCCACCATTGGTGTCAGTAAAATGTGGATTAGGGGAGGTGGCAATCCTTACACATCTTCGTTATGGTTCATAAGTTATCATCTTTTTCATACTTGACTGACTCAGCAGTTAGTGTGCATGTCTCCTGGCTGAGTGGCCCTGGCTAGTACACACACTGCCCCTCTTCAACACTTCATACTTTGACAGTAGTGTGAAAGTTTGGCTTGGAAGACATATTTGGCAGTGTGAAGAGAAATTTAATTCAAGAGGAAGCATTGCTGTGGGCGGTGTAACTCACAAGACGAGTTCATCCACATCTGTGGTAAAGGTTTGTTCTTGTATGGCATTTCTCTTCACATGTTTTGTCACATGTGCATTGTGTGGCATTTACCATGTGATAATCTAACACTTTTCTTTATTTTACAGACAAGCTAAGCAAGCATTTCCTGTCAAGTTAACAGAGCCTGTGACTGCAATATTATATATCACCTCTGACAAGGTCCACATGGAAGAGCTCAAACATACCATACATGTCAAGGAAATAGCATTGGGTGAGCAGTCATTAAATACTTCCTTCTCTTGATGTATGCAATTTGCTTAGAGATTTCATACCCCTGATGAGTTTCAATGTGTTGTGGTGTGTCAGCTTCAGTCCTCCTGGGACAACCCCTTTCCCTCCTTCCCTCCACCCCAGATTTATATGCCCTCCTAGTCAACCTTTTTGCTTCATCCTCTCTGACTGTCCAAACCACCTCAACAACCCTCTAAATAATAATTTTAGTCACCCACTCTTTCTTCTAATCTCCAAGCTCTGAATTCTCTGCATAATATTCACACTGCACACTGCCCTCAAACAAGACATCTCCATTGCCTCTAACCTCCTCTATATAACATTGTTGGTACCACTAATTTGGTACCTTCCCTGTTTTTTGCCTCTATGGATAAGATTCTTTGTCTTCACAGATGTCTCACTGTACCACCCACTTTTCTTCTCTTATCAGTTTTATGGTTCACCTCATCTTTCATAGACCCATCTGCCTGTAAATCCACTCCCAAATATCTAAACATATATATTCCTCCATACTTCCTCCCTCCAATCTAATATTCAGTCCTTCATTGCCTAGATTTTTTTGTAACTCATTACCTTACTTTTTCCTTTGCTCACTTTACCTTCTTTTACATACTCTTCCAAATTTATCTATAGACCTTTGCAGCTTCTTTCAGAATCTCACAAAAAAACTGTGTCATTGGCAAAAAGTATTTGTGACAACTTCCACTTTGTATGAGATTCATTATCTTTTAATCCCACACGTCCCAAACACCCCAACGTTAACTTCTTTTACACCATCTATCAACACATTAAACAACCAAGGTGACATCACACATCCTTGTCTGAGACCAATAATTCTCTTCTCTCCTGTATATCCTTATCTGAGCCTTACACTAAACATAGAAACTCTACTGCTATTAATAACCTACTACCTATTCCATACCTTTCCAACATCTACCACTTTGTTCTCCTATTTGCTATTGTATACCTTTTCTAAATCCACAAATAAAACAAAAATTTCCTTTATCTTTAAGAATTAATCACTTAATATGCTTCATTGTAAACACTTGATCTATACATTCCTTATCCTTTCTTTAACGTCTTTGTCCATCTGCTGTCCTACTCTCTCTCTCTTACCATTAATTCTTTCAATAATAACTCTCCCATACACTTTACATGGTATACTCAACAGACTACTTCTTCCCCTATAATTTTTACACACTATTTTATTCCCATTTTTCTTGTTCAGAGGAACTATACATACTCTCTGTGTTGTATTTTTTCGTAACCAAGAAAATTTGCTTTGATCCCATTATCATCAAGCTTTGAGAATTGGTGATGAGTTAAACTTTGAAAGATTTTGAACTGTAAACATAACACTCAGAGTTTGAAATTTTTTATTATGTAATTGTTTTAGCCAATAGCTTTATGAACAGTTTGAAAGTTGCTAGCTGATGTATCCCAACTTATATTCCAAAACATTGTCAGTAAATACGGTATTTGTTTAGACTACAAATATAAAGTTAGTTTATTGTTTTCCTTGCAGCGCCAGCCCATGAGCACCATGTAATAGCCATGCACAAACACGGCCACAAGTGGGGAGGACTTCCAACCGTATTCTGGTTAACTATTATTGCACTTATTGTGATATTCCACCTCTTTCTTATCAAACTGGTTATTAATGAATACTGTGGGGGAGATGTCAGGGTCAGATACAGGTAAGGAGAGTTATGATCCTTGTTGAAGAATTTAGTAATCGCCCAGTTGTTTAATATTATATCTTATATTTTACCATCATACAATTGTAATTTGACTAACAAACTTGCATGCCATATGTTGCCATGCCTCTTGCTATCTTATAATGTGTAGTTACTTTAGAGATGTATGCTTATTTCTGCTATCTTGCTATAAGACTGAAAAAAGATGTAAGGTGCCTGCTTTTTACCCATGCTTACTGTTCAGATAGTAAATGGCTGAGAGGAAGTGACTGTAGTAAAGAGCCTCTTGAGGTGCCTAGTGATGGAGTAAGATGGAAGAGACTTCAGTGATGGAGTGATGGGGTGGAGAGTGTCCAGTGATGGAGCAATATGGAGGAGACTGCCCAATGATGGAGTATTATGGTGGAGTGTGTCCAGTGATAGAGCAGTATGGAGGAGACTGCCCAGTGATGGAGTAATATAGAGGAAACTATGGAAGAAGACGGAGGAGATTGTTGAGTGATGGAGTTACATGGGGTACACTGCAGGGAACAATTCCTGATAGTGGAGGTAGCCTGTTACAAAGACAACTAGATGTATAAAAATTAAAGATGCTGTATTCTGTCAAATTTTTTAGCATTGATTTATAGATTGTTATTACAGTAACAAGAAGAGTAAAGGAAGATGTAAACAAACTACCACAGAGAGTAGACACACTACATAACAGAAGTTACAATGCTATACAAAGGGTCCTAAATAATGAGTTATGCTTTTGGTGTTCCAACTCATGAACAAATTGTTTGTTACTAAACCTAGTTTCCTACAGAGAGCCATATTACAGTGGTTCATTTATATTGCACAGTCATACACATTGATCAACCTTTGTAAAACAATTACTATTTCTTAGAGAATTTGTTCATACGGATGCTTGTAACTCAAGACATTGTTGTTTGTTATGAAATTTCATTAGAACACTACAACACTATAATTTCTTATCTGCCACATTTGATTTTTTATATTAAAGTAATATTATTGATCCTAGGTAGTAGGTTGGTAGATAGCAGCCGCCCAGGGAGGTACTACCGTCCTGCCAAGTGAGTGTAAAACGAAAGCCTGAAATTGTTTTACATGATGGTAGGATTGCTGGTGTCCCTTTTTCTGTCTCTTAAACATGCAAGATTTCAGGTACATCTTGCTACTTCTACTTACACTTAGGTCACACTACACATACATGTACAAGCATATATATACAAACCCCTCTGGGTTTTCTTCTATTTTCTTTCTAGTTCTTGTTCTTGTTTATTTCCTCTTATCTCTATGGGGAAGTGGAACAGAATTCTTCCTCTGTAAGCCATGCGTGTTGCAAGAGGCGACTAAAATGCCGGGAGCAAGGGGCTAGTAACCCCTTCTATATAAATTACTAAATTAAAAAAGAGAAACTTTTGTTTTTCTTTTTGGGCCACCCTGCCTCGGTGGGATATGGCCTGTTTGATGAAAAAAAAAATTATTGATGAGGTAACAAAGGACCCCAATGGAAATAAGTTTTTTTTTTTTTCTGACTTTTTGGGTTATCCTGGGTTCCCTACACATATGTTGCTATGTATGATCTTATTTTTTTTTTATTATCACACTGGCCGATTCCCACCAAGGCAGGGTGGCCCGAAAAAGAAAAACTTTCACCATCATTCACTCCATCACTGTCTTGCCAGAAGGGTGCTTTACACTAAAGTTTTTAAACTGCAACATTAACACCCCTCCTTCAGAGTGCAGGCACTGTACTTCCCATCTCCAGGACTCAAGTCCGGCCTGCCGGTTTCCCTGAATCCCTTCATAAATGTTACTTTGCTCACACTCCAACAGCACATCAAGTATTAAAAACCATTTGTCTCCATTCACTCCTATCAAACACGCTCACGCATGCCTGCTGGAAGTCCAAGCCCCTCGCACACAAAACCTCCTTTACCCCCTCCCTCCAACCTTTCCTAGGCCGACCCCTACCCCGCCTTCCTTCCACTACAGACTGATACACTCTTGAAGTCATTCTGTTTCGCTCCATTCTCTCTACATGTCCGAACCACCTCAACAACCCTTCCTCAGCCCTGTGGACAACAGTTTTGGTAATCCCGCACCTCCTCCTAACTTCCAAACTACGAATTCTCTGCATTATATTCACACCACACATTGCCCTCAGACATGACATCTCCACTGCCTCCAGCCTTCTCCTCGCTGCAACATTCATCACCCATGCTTCACACCCATATAAGAGCGTTGGTAAAACTATACTCTCATACATTCCCCTCTTTGCCTCCAAGGACAAAGTTCTTTGTCTCCACAGACTCCTAAGTGCACCACTCACCCTTTTTCCCTCATCAGTGAGTGGTGCACTTAGGAGTCTGTGGAGACTGTATTTGTGTATACCTGAGAAAACTTACTTACAAGACATCTTTATAAACAACACACCCTCAGTGTACTGCCACATGTTGCCTCTCACAACACCCTCAGTGTACTGCCACATGTTGCCTCTCACAACACCCTCAGTGTACTGCCACATGTTGCCTCTCACAACACCCTCAGTGTACTGCCACATGTTGCCTCTCACAACACCCTCAGTGTACTGCCACATGTTGCCTCTCACAACACCCTCAGTGTACTGCCACATGTTGCCTCTCACAACACCCTCAGTGTCCTGCCACATGTTGCCTCTCACAACACCCTCAGTGTACTGCCACATGTTGCCTCTCACAGAACCCTCAGTGTACTGCCACATGTTGCCTCTCACAACACCCTCAGTGTACTGCCACATGTTGCCTCTCACAACACCCTCAGTGTACTGCCACATGTTGCCTCTCACAACACCCTCAGTGTACTGCCACATGTTGCCTCTCACAACACCCTCAGTGTACTGCCACATGTTGCCTCTCACAGAACCCTCAGTGTACTGCCACATGTTGCCTCTCACAACACCCTCAGTGTCCTGCCACATGTTGCCTCTCACAACACCCTCAGTGTACTGCCACATGTTGCCTCTCACAACACCCTCAGTGTACTGCCACATGTTGCCTCTCACAACACCCTCAGTGCCCTGCCACATGTTGCCTCTCACAACACCCTCAGTGTACTGCCACATTTTGCCTCTCACAACACCCTCAGTGTCCTGCCACATGTTGCCTCTCACAGCACCCTCAGTGTACTGCCACATGTTGCCTCTCACAACACCCTCAGTGTCCTGCCACATGTTGCCTCTCACAACACCCTCAGTGTCCTGCCACATGTTGCCTCTCACAACACCCTCAGTGTCCTGCCACATGTTGCCTCTCACAACACCCTCAGTGTCCTGCCACATGTTGCCTCTCACAACACCCTCAGTGTCCTGCCACATGTTGCCTCTCACAACACCCTCAGTGTCCTGCCACATGTTGCCTCTCACAGCACCCTCAGTGTACTGCCACATGTTGCCTCTCACAACACCCTCAGTGTACTGCCACATGTTGCCTCTCACAACACCCTCAGTGTCCTGCCACATGTTGCCTCTCACAACACCCTCAGTGTCCTGCCACATGTTGCCTCTCACAACACCCTCAGTGTCCTGCCACATGTTGCTTCTCACAACACCCTCAGTGTACTGCCACATGTTGCCTCTCACAACACCCTCAGTGTACTGCCACATGTTGCCTCTCACAACACCCTCAGTGTACTGCCACATGTTGCCTCTCACAACACCCTCAGTGTCCTGCCACATGTTGCCTCTCACAACACCCTCAGTGTACTGCCACATGTTGCCTCTCACAACACCCTCAGTGTACTGCCACATGTTGCCTCTCACAACACCCTCAGTGTACTGCCACATGTTGCCTCTCACAACACCCTCAGTGTACTGCCACATGTTGCCTCTCACAACACCCTCAGTGTACTGCCACATGTTGCCTCTCACAACACCCTCAGTGTACTGCCACATGTTGCCTCTCACAACACCCTCAGTGTACTGCCACATGTTGCCTCTCACAACACCCTCAGTGTACTGCCACATGTTGCCTCTCACAACACCCTCAGTGTACTGCCACATGTTGCCTCTCACAACACCCTCAGTGTACTGCCACATGTTGCCTCTCACAACACTACCTGTTACCACCTCAAGTTTTTGTGTAATTATACTTAAAGATAAAATAAAGATTTCACAACAGCATTTAGACATGAGTAACATGTAGGGTGATAATTTTTTTTTTTTTTTTTTTTTTTTTGCATCTTTGAACTAGATTATTATTAATAATAATTTATAATAGTAATCTGTAAGATATTGATTTGAGTTGGTTTTGGGTATCATACACTGTCATATTAGGCAGTTCCTATAATACTAATATTCATAGTCTTTGTAGACTACACTAATACTGCTTGACATTCAGTTAAAATATTGGATTTCAAGAACAATGACTTCCAAGGCATTTCAAAAATTAGGTATCTGAAATTGTCTAGATAAAATTATAATTATGTGGTAGTGTGAAAGTACTGTATCTTAACCTGACTTGTGGTTGAGAATGTAATTTTTTTTGGTACAAATCATCTGTGTACTATCATTACATAAAGTGCTACATATCATACAGTCTTTTTCTCTATTAGCACAAGAGGTGAGCCTTCACACTTGCTTTCCCAGCGCCAACACCCCTCAGTCGTGTAGTGCTGTACAACTCGTACAGATTTAGAGCTGTTCAGTGAAGAGAATGTTATCTGTCATTGTATATCTGCTTCTGTGGATACATGAAACTTTCAAATAATTTATTGACATACTAAGCCATAAGAGATGTTGATCCATCATGTGCATCTATGCCTACTTATCTTTGTAAAACTTTTAGATTCTTCCATAGAAATGTCTGTTTTATTTATTTTTTTTTTTTTTAATACGTAGGCTGTGTTTCACCAAGGCAGGGTGACCCAAAAAGAAAGAAAAAAAGCTTTCATTATCATTCTACATTTTCCCCATCACTCATACTTAATCACTGTTCCTCCTAACTGCCAATATCCCAAACCCCTCCTTTAACCCGTAAACGGTCCAAGCAGATCTACGTTCACATGTGTAGCGCTACGAAAGTAGATCTACGTTTTTTTTACATATTTTCAAATATAACAAAAAAAAAAGTAGATCAAAAGTTTTTTTACACATTTTTCAAATGTAAAAAAACAAAAAGAAGATCTACTTTTTTTACATACTTTCAAATGTTGAAAAAACGTATATACAGTGGACCTTCGACCAGCAATATTAATCCGTTCCTGAGAGCTCATCGTTAATCGAAATTATCATTAGTCGAGTTAATTTTCCCCATAAGAAATAATGGAAATCAAATTAATCCGTGCAAGACACCCAAAAGTATTAAAAAAAAAATTTTTACCACATGAAATATTAATTTTAATACACACAAACTGAAGAAGACATGCACAGTTACATGACACTTACCTTTATTGAAGATCTGGTGATTGATGGGATGGGAGGAGGGGAGAGTGTTGATGGTGTTAGTGTTTAGAAGGGGAATCCCCTTCCATTAGGACTTGAGGTGGCAAGCCCTTTTTCGGGGTTACTT